ATCAAGTATTTATGAAAAAAAAAAGTCTTAAAACTTATTTTACTCTTTTCCAATAATATAAGCATTATGCTAAGAAAAGTTCTGGCTTGATTTGGTTTCTTTGCAGACTACCTGGTGACAAAATGTGGTGTGCTTATGATGTCTATTTTTGTGTTCTTTACAACCACCATGTCTGTGTCGTTCACATTGAGAGAGACACAGACTCGCATGCTGAAGTTCACAGGTTTGTGTTACTTAATTTTGTGTATTCTGGATAAAGCAAAATGCTGATGCTAGCTCCATTCACAATACTTGCCTCCATTAGTGTTTTCTTCTGTCCCCTCCTTGAGACAATGAAATAATGTATGTTATGAAACTCTTAATTGTGTTTTGACGTTAAATCCAGAAATAGCATTTATTCACGTGTTACTATCTAATTTAAAGTTTTATATATAGAAAACATCATCCATTTTGTTTCCCTGATTTGATGAGTATCATTTTGTTTCCCAGTGTGTCATACATCCTCCTTATCCTTCCTCTATATTTTGGTGCTTACTTTTGTCAAATTATTGCAGTGCAGCTTCAACACCACGCTCGTCATCAGCTTCCAACTTTCCAGTTAATTTTTGTGCATGTAATTGAATCACTTGTCTTTGTGCCGGTAAGTGTACATCTTTTTTGTTCACCATCAACACAATACGTACCCGGTCAATGAGTTTTTTGGATTTTATTTATTCATTTACTTATTTTTACTTGCAAATGAAAATTTGGATATCCACATATTCTTGCCAAACTATTTTTGGTTTTGCAGATAATGATCGGTATATTATTTTTTCTGTTCGAGTTTTATGATGATCAACTGTTGGCTTTTATGGTCCTCATACTTGTCTGGTTGAGCGAACTTTTCACGCTGATCAGGTTTCGTTCTCTCCCTTATAAATAGTGGCAGGAAAATTATTGGGTGCCCATGCCTGTACACATAATGAGTACGTTTCATTTGAAAAATCATTCACTCTGAGACTCTCATTCCTTTCCACAGGTCATGTGATGGGGAATCGTGCTGTCATTAATCAATGCATGAGTTCATATTTTCATTAGGCCTTATGTTAGTCGTAAGATATATCAGATATGGGGTCTTGACAATGTGATGATTGCTCAAACTTGTTGCTCTTTCGAATCTGGTGGTTAGGCCTATTTTAGGTTGGTAGTTCTGGACTTAGTATGGATAAAATATTACCTGAAAGTTAGTACTAACCAATTTTGAGGCGGGGTTAGGCTTTAATTGGCACTCATTTGATCTCTGTAGTAGATTTCCTTGATCAAGGGCTTTGATGTTGTGAGTCAGCAGATTAAATTGGCTTAAGATATGCTGTTAGAAAAGGATTATATAATGGCACCTCTTCGAGGCTAATTTTCCCATCCAGTGTGCAGACCCTACTTTTACCAAATTTCTAATTTGTGTCATGCTCTTCTCGTTTGATTGCCCTTCTTGCAGTGTCCGGACGCCCATTTCTATGAAGTTCTTTCCCCGCTTCTTTTTGATCTACTTTCTGGTTTTCCACATCTATTTCTTTTCCTATGCTTATGGTACGTATTACTTCTTACTTTACTAGTAGATGGAAACTATTTTTCGTTTTCTTGATAAAATCCTGCTTTCAAACTGTTTGCAGGTTTTTCTTATTTGGCTCTGTCTACGGCTGCCGCTTTTATGCTGCATCTCATTCTATACTTCTGGAACCGTTTCGAGGTAATCCTTATTGTGTAGAATTTTCCCTTTTTGGGCCTGGCTTATTGTACATATGAAAATATTTTTTGAATGGCACGGTCTTTTGTAAAGTTTGGTTCCTTACGATATAGCAATGGTAGTCTCAGTTGGTTCCCTTTGCTTGCACTGCTTGTTTGAGCAGATGAATAATGAAGTTCCTAGATTCAGATGGTAGATGTGCACGCGTATGTGTGCTACATTTCACGGGTGTTAAAAATATTTGTGTTTAAATTCTTGTTATTCATTGGAAAAGAAGCCGGAAGAAAAGAATATTGAAACCCATAAAAAAGAAGAGGTCCATCTTCCAGCCGGGAGCAACTGGAAAACCCTCTGTTTCATTGCTTGACGTTTTATGGTGGACCACCGTAATCAAACTTTTACTGCTGAAACTACCATAGCCTTTGTGTATTTTCGTAGTTTGAGGAGAGATCAGAGGCATAACTTTTACAAGAATAAATCATTTACGGAAGATTTGAGTGTGGTCTATATTGTTGGGATCTATAATAGCCTTAAGTAGTCGAAGTTTAATCAGTAATCATCTCGGTGCACTCCCTGCAGGTACCAACTCTACTGAGGTTTATCCAAAATCGGCGATCTCAGCTCCAGCAACACCCAGATTTCCACATTACCTCCTCAACGTTCCTTGCCTCAACTGTACAGATCACAAGATTTAACACAAGAAATCCCGGCCTTGTTAATTCTGACTTGGCATCTGGACCCGGGCTGAGATCTGGATCCAATCCAGCGGTGCCATCGAATGCAGCAGAAGTTCCCGGGCTTCAAGATCAGTCAGGTAATGACAACCTAGACAGGGTGGGAAACCCTCAGGTGCCGGGCCAAGCTGACCTGAATCAAGCAGAGAATGGTCCCAACCCCGGCGGTATGAATTCATTCAGTTCGCTTTTGTTATGGATCTTGGGAGGGGCGTCCTCTGAAGGCGGCCTCAATTCCCTTCTTTCTATGTTCAGAGATGTGAGAGAGCAAGGACAAGTTTATGCGGAAGCGGAACCTCCTAGGCAAGAAAATCAAGATGTACAAAGATAGGACCGGAACATTGCACGTATGGAGGAAGGCGATCTCAGTTTGCCTTCCTTTTGTTGTTGTAGATCTTCATGGTGAAGTAGGATAGCAAACGTTTTGCTGGATTGTATAGAAATGATATATGTGACGTCCTTTTGGTTAATCCAAAGAATGCAATCGAAAGCAAGAATCGGATTTGGAGATGTTCGATTTTTCTGAACCGTGTCTCCGTCAGCAAAGTGATTTTTCTTAATCTTTTCAAGCTGCAGACTGAGGGCGAGCCTTCAAAAAGGTTGCTTCTTTGTGATCGAAAGATCACAGATTTGAGTTGTGGAAATTTCTTTGCAAACAAGGTACGGCTATGTATAATAGACCTTTTTTTTTTACCCTCACAATGCGAAGAGCCTTGTTAGTTTGGGTTTGCCTTTCTCAAGCTGTAGACCCATGTCGAACCAGTTGCCTAATTACCTGCGTAACAATTGCAAACCCACTTCCCAGGTATCTACGTATTTACAGGGGAAAAACCTAATGGACTCGCATTTATGAGAAAAACCATAATATTCTTGAATGGGTGTCTAGGGTTTAGGGTTTAGAATTTTTTTTCGGTGGTTCAAGATCTTAATCATTAACACCAATATCTTGATTAGTAGAACCCCTTCAATAAATTCTAATAGGGAATAGTAGCAACCTTCTCATTTCAATTTTCTCACTTCTACTCATCTAATGTGAATCCTCGTTAGCTAATTACACGCACTAAACTTGTGGCTTCGAAAATGCAAATTCAAAACAAAGAAATATTAGCAATCCTTGTATTTAGACCTTTTCACTTTAATAAATGACACGTAACATCTTTTACAGACATAAAAAAGACATTTAATGATACATGTTTTTTAAAGTAAAATTGTCCAAATGCAAAAGTTGCTAGCACTACCCTTTAAAATATGGACTTGGATTGTCTGCACTTCTCATACCTTTTCCATCCCCTCCTAGATTATGTGGTTACGATTAAGTCACGTCAACATTTTATATTGATTTTTTTTTTATAGAAATAATAAGACAAAAAGTAATGGGAATATAAAATATTGACGTGACTTAACCGTGACCACATAAATAGAAGGGGATGGAAAGGGTATGGGATAAGGAGGGCAGACAATCCAGGTCCTTGTCTACCCTCCCATTTCCATACTCTCCCCATGTCCTTCTGTGATGTGTGGTTACGATTAAGTCACGTTAACATTTTATATTAATTTTTTTATAAAAATAATAAAACAAAAAGTAATAGGAATATAAAATGTTGACGTGGCTTAACCGTGGCCACACAAATAGGAGGGCATGGAAGAGTATGGAAATGGAAGGGCAGACAATCCACCTCTGGCAGGGACCTGGATTGTCTGCCCTTACCATCCCCTCCTATATTATATGGTCACGGTTAAACCACGTCAACATTTTATATTGATTTTTTATTTTTATATAAATAATAAGACAAAAAGTAATGAGAATATAAAATATTGACGTGGCTTAACCGTGCCCACAGAAATAGGAGGGGATGGAAAGGGTATGGGATGGGGAGGGCAGACAAACCAGGTCCTTAAAATATAGGGACACTCACTTATGCTCATACAAATAGGAATATTGATAGATAAAATGAGTTTAAATTAAGAGCACTCAAGTGTAACTAGTTAGTGATTTAATATGAAGTTAACCACGCGTTTGGCTCGTAACTACAATATTTTTCATTATCTAACCCATTTACTTTATAGATCTTCATTCAAAGATAATTCTTACATAAATCCATCCAAATTGAAAATAATTTAGCCATTTGATTATTGTCGTGATCATTTCATTGTTTTTCAACGACATTGTTGCTGCTATTTTTTCTATCACAATTGGCTACTGAAACAACTTCTGATTGGGATGAATTTTTTAAGGATAATTTTTGAATAAAAATTTATAAAATGAATGGTTTAGATCATAAAAAAATTTCGTTGATTCGACCCAAACACATAATTGGCGCTATATTAAGTTACTAACGAGTTAGCGCTTAAGCGCTCCTATAATTTAAATATATAAAATGGTTTCAAATACGTTACACGGGTCAAGTGAGTTAGATGTGTGTCACTATCATAGTATCACACGGTTTAATGATATCCTTTATTTGTGAATAAAAGTGTTAGTTTCAACTTTAATAGATGATGAATTCAATCCGAAATTAGGGAGAATGGTTGTATTAGGTTGGAGATTTTCTGACCCATTAAATTCCAATCCACAACCCAAACCTGGCCCGATACAACCCATTTCCAATTTACCACCCCCGTTTCACTTGCTCCCTCACTCACACCGTCTTGTACCGCCTTCTCATCCTTTCGTTGCCGCCGTCAGAGGTTGTCCCTCTCAGCCTCTCTCCAGCGGCTCTTCCTCTTTCAAATTCTACTCAGCGCAAAAAGGACAAGGGCACTCGGTTTGGCATACAAGGACAAGAGGGCTTGCTTTTGCTGAAAATATTCAAACAAAGTCGAAAGGATATTTTCAGGTATTTTCTTTTAGTTTAAATATTCGGTTTTTGTTGGTTCTTCAGTACTACAATGCATATACATATAGTTTGATGGGTTTTAATTAATTTGCTGAATGAATGAATGAAATGATTGATTGGGTTCGAAAATTTGTATGAAATGATTGATGGAAGAAGTCGTGGGTTTATGGGTTTAGGGTTTATATGTTGTCAGTTTTTGGTGTATTTTCCTTTTGTATGCATTGGTATCAATGGTGGGAACTGGAACACCCATTTCTCCAGTCCAGCTGAACTGCTGAACTGCTGAGCTGCTGAGACGACGACGGAGTTGCAGAGGACGACTTCTCACTCTTCTCTTCGACTCTGATATCGTGGCAACACTCATCCTTTTTTCATTATAATCAGCGATTAGCGGAGCCAAGGTGGGTGCAATGGGATTCATTGACCCCAATAAGTTTTTTGGGCCACTCTTTTTCTTTCGGTGCAAAAAAGAGAAAAAATAGGAAGAGGCGTTGCTTTGGTTTTTTGAAGAATAAAGAAAAAGAAAGGCTGATGACTTTGGTTTTATAATGCATGGGAGAGAAGGCAGAGCCTTTTGTTTTGGGAGCATCCGATATATTTAAGGCATTTGTTATGCCTTTTGGTTTTGAGCAGCAGCAGTAGAGAGAAGAGCGGTCTGTCGACAAATCCAATTTGTGAGCAGATGAGAGAGATGAGAGTCACACCAGGGAGAGCATTCGGCTCTCCCATTTGAGAAAGAGCGTAGTTAGGTCTACCATTTTGAGAGAGAAGCAGACTGAGAAAAACATGTGGCACTATTTAGAGAAGGCAGCAGTTTCTGCTTCAGTGTTCTCGTTGGATTGCTTCATCTTTTGCTCTCCTTTGTGCAATCACTCATATTGGTGCTAGAGAAATTGTTATGTATTTTTGTATTCTCTACTTGTTAGTTGTTTGAGTGAGAGCTATGGGTGTACATAGGATTTTGGATTTGAGTTTGAAATCTATTTTTAAATGAAAGTATGATCGATTTTTGAAAGCTATTTTTTGACCCTATTGCTGTAAATTCCTGGCTCTGCCACTGATAATCACTCATTCAACTTTCAAATTTCTTGGAATTAAGTCATATTTTTAGGTATTGTGTTTATTCATCTGATTGTTTTTTTTTTTTAGCTTTTAGTCTTTCATTTGTTTTTAATTTAGTAGTTGGGATATAGTAAGATTTAATTTCAAGTCTAATTGCGTTTTACATTTTGGGGTTGAATTTGGGGCTTTTGTTTAGGGTATAAGAATTGTGATTTAATATATTGTGAAATTTGATTCGGGAGTTCATGTTGTGGCTTTGGAGTTCAAAGTTCTTTTCTTGGAGAGGTACACTGTTAAAAACTAAGATTTTTCATTAAAAAAAGCAAAGGTTGTGATCTGTTATTTGGTGTTTTAACTGTCTTTTTGCTGGTGGGGAATTGTTCAGCCAGTGGAAAACGTGTAAAATGTTTTGAGTTATGTTTCTATAAAAATGGGTTTTTTTATTTTTTATTTTTTTATTTTTTTATTTTTTATAATTCCGTTCTGGATTTGATAGGCACTTTTATGGTGTTGGTTTTCAGCATGAATAGTTTTGGTTCATGTTTGTCTTTCAGCTACAATGGAATTTTCATTTTGGTTGCTGATTATTTTCTTTCAACCAGTTCTGTTGCTGTTCCTTGATCGAGTATTTTTATCACTTTACCAATTTTCAGAGCACTAGTGGTCTGGTGCTTTGTTTAATTCTGCTAGATTTTATAATTGTTAGTGAGTCAAGGAGTGAAGCTGAGATGCTGAGAAAGATCAGCGCACTGTTTGAGTATTTTTTCTGGAAACTCGGAGAATTTACTTCTAAACATATGAACTTTTTGTGGATCATATCATGGATGTAATGATGTAAAGTCGGATTATTGATTGGCGAGAAATCTATTACTGATGATGTTTAGAAGAAATATAAGTTATTTTCACAATTTCTCTCATGATTTATCGTCCAAGTTGTTGTCTTTGTTTTCATTTTTCTTTTTGCTGCTTCTCACAGTATACTCTCACGTCACGATTGAGTGTTTTTTTCACATTCCAAACTGCCCCCGCTCCGCACTCATAGGTACACACAAAATAAAGAGCCCCTTGGTCTATAAGACTGAAAATACAATAAAGATTCATGAGAAGCAGCCCATTACGAAAGGGACCAGGGAGCTGCTATTTGTACTCCAAAAAGGTCATCTTGCACTCCTTCCTAATTCAAAAACTAAAGGAGTGTAAAATGAATTTTTTGGGATGCTAATAACATTTCCCAAAAGAAATTCAGATATTATACTTTTGTCAACAATTTCGGTCGAGCCATAAATGAATAATTCAGCTCATGGTTCTAATTTTTTATTTTATTTTTTTTACCTTGATCGTATCAGTTTTGATTCTTAATGCATTTGCAGTGAAAGTGAAACACAACTGCCTAACTGAGCAAAATGTGGAAGCGAGTGGTACAAGCACCTTCAGCTCAGGTCCGAACCCTAGCCTCACAGAGATCCTCATGTCTCGAACACAGCTTTCGACTCCTCATCTTATCACCATCTTCCTCTTCAATGATGCTGTTTCAGCGATCTTCTCTTTCCTCCACCCACGCCACCTTTACTTCCTGTTCCAGTGCGTCTGCATTTATGGGTCATGAGCACGAGGAATTTGAGGCTGAGCATCAGGTTAGCAACTTAACTGCACTATTGTTTCTTCTTTGCAGTTTTAAAATACCAAATTTGCTTAACTGTGGGCCACATAGTTATTTTATTTCAATTAATTTTTATACAGAGTAGGATCAATACATCCAAGCAAAGTGGAACTGATACTGGGTATTATAGTCAAAATAGTGGGCAGTTGCAACAGAAACTAAATGGGGCATGCACTGATGGTTCATGGGATCCCCAGCAGAGCTCAAATCAGTATAGTCAAAGTAACAATAGGCCTTTCTGGAGAAGCACAGGCAACGAATTTCTGAATGACCCAGTTCAACAAAATGGTAATTTTAGAGGGTATTACGGTCATGAAAATAGAGGGTTGCAAAAAACCCCAAACTTGCATGGGAAAGATTTAGGAAATGGAAATATACAGAATTCATATGTGCCTGGGAAGGAGCCTTCCATAGAAGTCAGACAGAACCTTGATTGTTATAAATCACAAGGAAATCCGGGGTCTCAGGGAAACCCAAATCAGAATTTTATGCAAAGTTATGCACAGCATCAGCAAAATACCAATGGTTATTCTGAATTGCATCAGCCGAACCCTAGTTATGGACAACGTCAACAGAATTCTAGTTATGGATATGAACAGTATCAGCAACAACCTAGTTATAGGCAATACCAGCAAAACCCTAGTCATGGGCAATACCAGCAAAGCCCCCATGCTGGACAATATCCGACAAATTCAGATGCTTTTCAAAATATGATAGCGGATTCTCACGCAGGAAGTGAGTCAAAACCTGAAGGACAATTGATTGAGGCTTCGGAAAATAGCCCATCTAGTTCCAGTCTTGAAGAGTTGGATCGTTTTTGCAAGGAGGGGAAAGTTCAGGAGGCTGTGGATATCTTGGGACTGCTAGAGAAGCAGCATGTTCATGTGGATTTGCTTCTCTATTTACGGTTAATGCAGGCATGTGGTGAGGCTAAGGCTTTAGAAGAAGCAAAAGTTGTTCATGACAACATTACAAGATTATTGCCTACTTTGAATGTGAGTACGTACAACAAAATCTTGGAGATGTATTCTAAATGTGGTTCTATGGACAACGCATTTTTGGTTTTCAACAAGATGCCAAATCGGAATTTGACATCGTGGGACATTATGATAACATGGTTTGCTAAGAATGGTCTTGGGGAAGATGCCATTGATCTATTTACCCAATTCAAGAAAGCAGGCTTGAAACCTGATGGCCAATTGTTCATTGGGGTTTTATACGCTTGTAGTGTCGTGGGAGATATTAACGAGGGATTGCTGCATTTTGAATCGATGAGCAAAGATTATGCTATTGTCCCAAGTATGGATCATTATGTGAGTGTAATAGATATGTTAGGAAGTACGGGCCATCTGGATGAAGCTTTGGAATTCATTGAAAAGATGCCATTGGAACCTAATGTTGATGTTTGGAAGACCCTGATGAATCACTGTAGAGTTCATGGGCAGTTGGAGCTTGGGGACCGGTGTGCGGAGCTTATTGAGCAGCTAGATCCCTCCTGCTTGGATGAGCAATCAAAGGCTGGCCTTATTCCCGTCAAAGAATCTGACCTGGTAAAGGAGAAAGAGAAGAAAAAAATAGCAGCACAAAATCTTTTAGAAGTGAGGAGCCGAGTCCATGAATATCGAGCAGGTGATAAATCGCATCCTGAGAACGATGAGATTTATGCTCAACTTAGGGGTTTAAGGGAACAGATGAAGGAGGCAGGCTACATTCCGGAGACTAGATTTGTGTTACATGACATAGATCAGGAAGGCAAGGAAGATGCTCTGCTTGCCCATAGTGAGAGACTTGCTCTTGCTCATGGCCTCATCAGCAGCTCAGCTCGTTCAACTATTAGGGTTATCAAGAATCTTCGTGTTTGTGGCGATTGCCATAACGCACTGAAGATCATTTCGAAAATTGTAGGTAGAGAACTCATCATGCGAGATGCTAAGAGGTTCCACCATTTCAAAGACGGATTGTGTTCTTGCCGAGATTATTGGTGAACATATGAAACTTGATTTATTCTTTTATCTCAGGTATTATTACAAACTTTGTTTTGAGTACTTGAAATGCAGCCATGGAATATGATAGAATGCTTTGGAAAGTAATTTTGAGACGGACCTTAATTCAACTGATCAAACTGCAAAGCGGGGTAAGCCTATCGCAAAGAGCACCTCATTCTTTCAATGTCCAATATTTAGCTATAGCATCTGTCGAGAAATCGGCCTCTGTAAATACGATAGTGCTGTTCCAACTTTGCTGCCAGGAGCTTTGATATCCTTCGAATTCTTGATGTTATCAGTATTGCTCTTCTTCATAGCTTGCGTATGCGAAATGATACATAAAACTCCAAGACTTGCAAATGCACAAGAAATTAAATCTACAAGCAATCCATGGGACATCCTTGAAAACATGTTCAAACACAACCAGAGAGTTTACTAGAAGCAATAAACCGCTTCCTGCGTAAGACAAAAGTTTTTTCTATCCCATACATAAAACCAAGCACGACCCAAAAGATAAAGTACAAAAAGCAGTGTTTTAAAAAGTACCGCTTAATCATTGGTTTCTTAACTTATCAAAATGTACAGTCATGGTCATTTTCGTCAACTCCGTTAAAATTTTCGTCAAGATTAGTCACGTGCCATCATGTAAGGCTGAATCAAAGGGTAAATATGACAAACCAAACCAAATGAGAAAATTGTAGCAATGAGAATGATCCTTCAGCTTTAGCCTAATTAGAACAAAGGTTTCTCAACTCATCAAAATGTGCAACTTTGATCATTTTCATCAACTCTGTTAGAATTGTTATCAAACTGAGTCATGTGCCGTGTACGTAAGCGGATCATGATTGTGGTGTATATTATCTGTTTGTCCATGGAGCCCTTCCACCATGGCTACTTGTCCTCCTTGGCACGCGCGAGGTTGCCGAAAGAGAATTGGCGGAAGTGGATGGGGGGAAGAGGCTGTCGATGGGGACGGGGAAGGAGACAAAACCTTTTTGGACGTGTAGAGGGTGTAAAGGAGGTGTGGCGTGGAGGGTCGGGGGAAGCGTGTCATGGCTATTGGGGTATATTTAATTTTTTTTTCATGTTTGCCTATTAATTAGTCTTACGTGTACAATACATGACTTATTTTGATGAAAATTATGACGAAGTTAACAAAAATAATTATGTTTGCACGTTTTGACACATAGCTTATTTTGGTAGAAGTTCTGACGAAGTTAATAAAAATGATTATTTCTGCACGTTTTGACGAGTTAAAAAATCAATAATTATAGATTTTTAGTTAAATGACCATTATTATGATTAAGTTAAAAAGTTAAAAGATCGTTGTTACAATTTTCTTCTGTTCTTTAGTCAAATCCATACCAAACAGTCATGTTAGGATTCTAAGCCGTTGGATTGATCTAAAGGTTTAATATGTATTGACCACGTGGTCTTTAGTGTTGCCCAAACACAGGCACTCGCTCAGGTGAGCTGCTCCGTCCATCTTTTCTTCTTCCTCTTTTCTCTTTCTCTCTGAATTGACGACACCACGATGTGGAGGAACTCGGAAGAGTTTATCTTCCAAGTTCCAGATATCCATCAACCCACTCTACCTCCTATCCTCCGCCTCCTCATCCGCCGAACACGGCGGCGTTCAACCTCTGCTGCTCTCTCACTCACTCTCCCAATCCCACCCCTACTCTCCTTCCCCTTCGCCTTCAGATTCTCTAAAGATCGGGCTTCACCGATCCGATGGAGTCGGAGCGCTTTCGGCAACAGCTGATCTCCCGTCGTTGGCTTCCAGGGCCTCGCACTTGGCCCGCCACTATGGGCAATGCTATTGGGAGCTCTCCAAAGCTCGCCTCAGGTACTCATTCCCCCACCATTTCCTCAATATTTTTCATTTGATTTTTTGAAATTCAATAATTTTTCATCATGGGACAGTTAAATCATTGTATTATCTGATTTATTGATAATTTCTGTGATAATTTTTAATTTTATTTTGTTAGTATCTGATATGTTAATCTTATGTTGATTCACACTGCTGTATTCCTAATTAGTATGTTTGATTTTCTATTGGAAAACAAGATTTAATTTCAATATAAGAATAATACAATCTCTGTGGAGTAAGCTGTCATCCCCAACAAACTAGATTGCAGAAACAATAATATGTGTTCTTCCAACCGTTAGGACCTTAAACCGAAATTAGGTTATCGAAAAACAGCTCCAGTCCAGTTGGCATGAATATAACCCAAAAAGTTGCACCCCATTTTGAAATTCAATCATTTTTCTTGTATTCTCTCATTTATTGATAATTTCTGTGATAATTTTTAATTTTATTTTGTGAGTATCTGATATGTTAATCTTATGTTGATTCACACTGTTGTATTCCTCTTTAATATGTTTGATTTTCTATTGGAAAACAAGATTGAATTTCAATATAACAATAATACAGTCTCTGTGGAGTAAGTTGTCATCCCTAACAAACTAGATTGGAGAAACAATAATATTTTTTCTTCCAACGATTAGGATCTTAAACCGAAATTAGGTTCTCGAAAAACAGCTCCACTCCAGTTGGCGTGAATATGACCCAAAATGATACACCCCGTTGTGAAGAGTGAGAAAAAAAAAAACAATTCTAGTTTGGACACAGAAAGTCCTGCTCACCCGCACAAATATGTTCTTCGAAATTCTCTTGTTTCTCTCCAGCAACAAAACCCAAAATTGGCTAGCACACTGCATCCCCAAAACCTTTTCTTTCTCACTACCGAACATTTTATGCCTCTAAAGAATCGGGAAGAGCACCCAGATAGGATTTCCCAACTCACATTTCCTTCACAACACTATCTCAATCATAGCAATGGAAACACGGAACTTGCACTTTTATGCTCAGTATTAAAACATTATACACCATAATGGAGACAGATAGGCGCGTAGTCTTGTCTTTATAGTCATATCTTAGGTTTTGACCCTCCATGAGAAACCAACGAAGCAGCTAACCAAGAAAAAACTAAACCAATAAAGATAGATCGATTGTTACATAAACCGAGAAGCTGCCACATGGTTATCAACTCCATCTTCTACCATCTGATCTAACCAGATATAAATGAAAATGCACCGAAAAAGACAACCAAGAAGTGAGCTCCCCCAATTTCCAAATCATTGAAACTTTCCTGAAACCATCTCAGCTCAATGGAATAGAAGTTCTTACAAATCTAGTAAGGGGCGTGTTTCGATGACTAGACATATCGTACAAGTGAGGAAACTAATTATTCAAAGATGACTCCCCAACCCTTCCTCACATCCTAGAACTTCATCCTTTCTTCAGTTACCAGTGCTAACTTGCGGCAAGATGTAAGGGACTCTTAGCCCTGAAAATTCTATTTTGAAGGACTTAGACTTGATCACCTCACAGTGGAATTTGCTTCCCACCCGTGTTCATGTAACCCATACTCGTTTTCAATATAAACATTCATAAAGGATCCCTTTCTTAAGGAAATAGCTGTTGTCACTTAGCTAGAAAATACTTATTTTCCACGTCCATCTAGTTAAGTTGAATTATCACTTATTAAGTTATTATGCCAATTTTTTCAATCCTGAATTCAGGACTCAGTTTGATTGCAGTATTGGGTGTATTTTCGTTCATGCATTAAACGCCTACATTTTATGTTCGTGGCAGATTCTCTTCTAACTAGGGATTATCAATTTTTCGTCATTGAAACTTAGTTTAAGATTTTTTTTTTTCTTATGAAATTTTCACTTTTACTTCAGCATGCTAGTCGTCGCAACTTCTGGAACTGGGTTTATTCTTGGAAGTGGCCATGCCATTCATTTTGCTGGACTTTGTTGCACATGTGCTGGTACCATGATGGTTGCAGCATCTGCTAATTCCTTAAATCAGGTTTGCTGTTCAATAACAGATTTTCTTTTTAAACACCCACACACACACACAATATATGGAAGTAGAACTAACTGGTGGGTCGTTATGCGAAGAGACGTCTCCCTTGTAACAGGAATACACACACACACGCAACATATTTTTTTTTCCACTAAAGTTGGATCTAAGATGCAAGCAGGGGTGAAGCTTAGCATGGAACCGGAACGTGAAAATTATGAACAAAATATTTAATGATGATTAGAGTCATTTCAAGATTAATGATTTTCTAAAGTTACGTATTATTTTATTTAGATGGTGCAGTTTCTAATTTTCATTGTTTGGGGTCCATTTGATGTCTCACCATGTGAAGTACACGTAGTTTTGTGTATCAACTTTTTGACTAGATAATGTGTTAAATCATTGAAATTATTTGGTTTTAGGTGTTTGAGAAGCAAAATGAAGCCAAAATGAATAGAACGAAGAACAGACCATTACCTTCAGGACGCATTACGATCCCTCATGCAGTCACCTGGGCATCCGCTGCTGGTTTAGCTGGCACTGCTTTGTTAGCAAGCAAGGTGCCCAAATGAATTCACACTTTTTTCTGTAGATGTTACATGCCATAAAATTTCTGATTTCCATCACCTCAATGTTTGATCGGCTGTGAGTTTGGGAACTAATGTTGCAACTCTTATGACAAGGTTGTTGCAGGCTAATATGTTGGCAGCTGGTCTTGGAGCTTCAAATCTAATACTTTATGCGTTCGTCTACACTCCATTGAAGCAGATTCACCCTGTGAATACATGGGTTGGTGCTGTTGTTGGTGCTATCCCTCCGCTTCTAGGGTAATTTGTTCTGTGATTTTCTTTGAACTACATGCTATTTTGATTGGACCTATTGGAGTTACTTTATTTATTGCTTTGGCTGTTGAAAAGTTATGCTTTCTATTGACTCATAGTAGCTTAAATGTTAGTTGTTGCAATATATTTTGGCAGCCCAAAACTGATCAGGGTTTTACTTTAAATAAAAACGAAGTTTGTTTTCCAATATCTATTGAAAAGTACCCATTGTACTGTGCTAAATATTTTATACATATAACTGCATATTCCCCCAGTATCTTTTTGTCTCTGTCCTCCCCATGACCTCCCTCTCTGGTCTGAAATTTTTTCTCAATATCTATGGACTTACGTCGTAGCTTCCACTTGTTTAACAGTAAAATAGATGTCTCTCTTGCACACACACGCATATTTGCATGTGTTTACACCTTATAATGGGACCATTTCAAGTCCATGATCTTGAACCACCCCGTGCAGAGGTGGTTTTCTTTGCTTCACCATCTGATTGCTATAGCACTCCTGTAGCAAAGGCCTGCACGCAAGAAGCACAATTATTGTTGATCGGTTTGCCTTGGCATGTGTATGGGAAGATATGTGACCATTATTTACCTCTCTCTGATATCCTGTTTTATCTGCATTGTAGACTTCTAGAAATGAAGCTTCTAACACAGCCATACCCTGCCAATCAACTTTGGTCTTAGGATGTTGTTATGGATATCTGTTGGGAATCATGGTAGCTGACTTTAGCTGTTGGCGTAAAAATAGAAACCTTATGTAGGTACTATTAGTTTACAATTTTCTTGTCTAGAATTCAACTCTATTTTTTCTCATTCATACGAGAATAATTCTTATTGAAAAAAATGTGAATAGATCTAGTTTTCTTTTCTATAATTCTTTGTGTTGAAGTTCCCCTTGCAGTATTCTTATACTCTATAGTTTTCTTCGTGTTGATGATCCCTTTGCAGACCTGAACTGATATTCTTGTTTGTTTCATTATGAGTCATGACATATATCAAGAACTGAATATTCCTGCATGTTGGCTCATGATTTCTCTTTTGGGCTTCCAGTTGGGCTGCAGCTTCCGGCCAGGTTTCCCTCAATGCAATGCTACTCCCAGCTGCTCTCTACTTTTGGCAAATACCTCATTTTATGGCCCTAGCATACTTGTGCCGTAATGACTATGCTGCTGGAGGGTATGAACTTTTGGGTCTTTCATGGTCTTACTTTAACATTTACGTCATCAGTTGAAAAGATCCAAATATTTTGCACCTGGAAATTGTTTCAGAACAGGAGTTTTATTTCCTGCCTTTGCTTTCATGGGCCTTGTATCTGTTCATGGAAATAATTAATCAGTATCCAATCATGCCCTATGAGTACAAGGCAGAAAGAATTATAGTTGACAGATTTTATACTTTTTGAGAGCGAATGGTGTTAAAAGCCTGTTCTGTTATCCAATTTTACTTCCCCTTTTAAATGATTAGCATGAGATTTTAGGAATTTGTAGTCAAGCAGATTGTAGGTTGGATCTTTGTTCGTGCGATGGTGGTCCACAGATTATTGATTCAGTTCACTTGGCTCCTTCCTCACTAATTCTTTTTCGTTTGTTGCATATTCAGATTTAGGATGTTCTCCCTTGCTGATGCTTGTGGTAAGAGAACGGCCTCAGTAGCTTTAAGGAATTGCATATACATGATCCCTTTGGGGTTCTTGGCCTATGACTGTAAGTCCATGACTCACAAACCATCGTTCTTTTTCTAACCGTGTTTCTATTTGTATTTTTTGTATTTCTGTTGGTGGTTGTCTTCTTGTAAAGCTCTTTGAGCATTTTTCTTTTTCTCTCTTTTCAACCAATGTCCGATCAATTTTTATTTCTTATTGACAGAAGGTTTTCCGTCATATAGGTGTCAGCATTGGTCTTCTTTAAATTGAAAATACATTTACCATTGGGAAAAACGCAAGAGTTGTGTCTGATATGGCTGTTTTCAGATTGCATTTTGAGTCTTTAGCTATTTGCATTTTCCCAAGACTCTTGGTGGGTTTAACAAAGCTGACGAGTTATATTTGTTATCATGGTTTTGGGTGATTTCATATGTCACTGGTCCTCTCGTACATTGACTAATTTGTGGTTCCTTGTACCGATTATCGATTGTATGATACTGTGGAGACAATTCTTGATCATCGTAGTACGTGATTCATTAATCGGAAATGTCATCTTTGTTATCATGCAACTCTTCTTGGTAGTTGAATGACCAACATATTCCATGCTTGAGATGCAATCCTTGGCCTTTGATCACTAAGCAGGGAATAATTAATGTTGGGGGATTACATCTCATTCCGCCCGTTTCTTCTGTCTGCAGGGGGTATGACGTCTGGATGGTTTTGTCTTGAATCTACTCTTCTTACTCTCGCGATAGCTGCAACATCATTTTCGTTCTTCCGAGACCGTACTACACATAAAGCAAGGAAGATGTTTCATGCCAGCCTTCTTTACCTTCCTGTATTTATGTCGGGGATTATGTTCCACCGCATCGTTGATAATCAACAAAGCCTTTCTGAAGAGAATTTAGAGAGTAGTGTTGAGCTTTCATTGTCCTCACAAGACGGCAATGTCAAACGGAAGACTAGGTCGAGGAATTCCACAGATGGCTCACAAGTTCGCCTACCTCTATCATACGCCTCTATTGCACCGTTTCCGTTTCTCCCAGTTCCTTCGTATGCCGATCCATGATATGCTTCTGGGTCCCTTGTTTTGTACCATGAAACGTCGAAAGCTGCCCAATAAAGTATTTTTGTTCAAAGAGCAGTGTCTTTCCCCAAGCAAACGTCTCCCGGAAAGGTAGAAAGCCTGTATTCTTTTGCAGATTGCAAGTTTCTTGTCGCGAATGTATTTTTTGCTTTGTAGTGTTGGAGGTTTAGGTGTTTGAGTTTGTAATGCATTGTTGATTTAAAGTATACGAATAAGGCGGCCATCTGTTCAATGATTATGGAAGAGCAGCTATTGATTTTTTTGCAGAATAATACAGAGTGATTTATAATATGAACGGTTTTGATCATAAACACAAAATTCTATAAATCGATCACAAAGTATCTTGAGGAACTCCTGTTTTAAGGAGCCAAGATATCTGCATCAATTGCAAGATCGAGTTGCTAAGCCTTTGATAGGGTTGTGTGCCCCGTTATATTGAGATAGCGCCTAGACTCCGCGGTTGCGGGTTGAATCACGGGTTTGTGCACTTCTTAGATCATTCGATCGTCGTTTACTAATTAGGCGATTGCCCTACAGTCGTTTTTGTGAAGACAAGTCCAGTCGTCTTTGTGTTCTTAAGCTTGAGTACAGTCGATCGCTCTACAGTCGTTTTTTCGTTCACCTTCCATACCTATTTAACCGGGTCCCCATTTGCATTTCACATATGGGATTAGAAGACTTCCAAGAACTAACTTCCATAGCTGTCTCTCGTTCACATACTATCTTACGTAAGATCATCTTCAAAGGAGATATCAAAAATACCACATAGACATACAACAGTAATAAATGACGTATCATTTATTCCAACCGAGATGCCAAAGATGACATGGAAAAGAAGGCTAAGCTAACATAGACAAAAAGATGTCAAATTTGAAGTTGCCTTCAAATTTGATTTTTTCTAGTTCCAAAGGTATTCCACTTGGCTTACCTTAAATGAAGCAATAAATTATATTATTTTTAAACCAACAACGACCCAACTTTTATTATTTTTGTTTAAAAAAAACATAAATGAAGCAATAAATTTTGGCATATCAGGTGGAAGGAAAACATTGATAATATGTCAAATTACCAAGTCAGCCATCAAATTGAAATTTGATGTTTTGAACTTGACGTCTCATTTGGAGATTTTCATTTTTGAAAACATGATCTTCTAGCGGATGCAAAAAGATAAACGATTTGGATCGTTGATATCACGTTCAGATTTTACAGTTAGTGAGAATATTGCTTAGAGTTTATAAAGTCTTTAGAAACTATACAATATTGACTCATATATCAATTAACCGTAAACATTGGGACGTGATATTAACGATCCGAATTGTTCATTTTTCTGCATCTGCTAAAAGATCATGTTTTCAAAAAACCAAATATGGTGAGAAGAATAAAGCATAAACGACAATCGAAGGTTTAATATAAATCTAGGTTTATGGATTGCGGTGTCGAATTTCGAAGTTGACCCCTTCACGAAAGTTGTAAAGCTTGTCACTATGAGTGATTGTATATATATTTTTAAACATTTTTCACTACATTAATTATTATGAATTTTTATCAATTTGCACTCAAACAATAAACACTATTAATGAGGATTTGGAGCGTTTTAAAAGTCTAAACGATGATATAACCATTTTCTAAGCGTAGATGATGCAACCATGAGCGTTTATACTTTTATATTAATAATATTTTTTAAAAAAAATAAAATATAATTTTGAACTCCCCTTTAAACACTGTTCATCAGGGTTTGTAGGGTTTTAAAATCAAAATGATGATGCACCCATTGCCAAATCGTGCGATCAAGAGCGTTTGCTTATTTTTTTCACACTTGTAAATCAATTATTATGAAATTTTAATGTGCTTTAGTATTTTTAAATTGCTTTTCGTATGTTTAATGTGCTTTGGAATTTTTTAATCTTACTTATATGAGATTAAATACTATGGTTATTGTAGTAAGGTTTTTTAGTAGTTTAAAATTATCAACTAACTTTTTTCTTATCGGGTCGAAACCGGTCACCCGTTGGTAAATACTATGTCAGATTAATGGGTTCTTAATGTGTGACCAATAGCGACCCAATTAGTTAACTCGTTGACCCAAAACCAATTATTTTCTTGTCATTTCGAATCAGATCAACATGCCCTGTAAGAAATTGTCATGTCTATGCTCCAATTTGGACCTCCCTTTTCTCTGATACATAATTTGTCTTCTAAACTACTATACATCACACAAAATGCGCATTTCAAAGAACTTTATCGGAGTTGTTTTATTTCGTAGGTTACTAAGTGTCTTTCATGACTTTTCTTTGGGGATGAAGTTGAACCATCACTGCCTGAAATTGGTTTTGGGGATGAACCATCATTTTTGTTTAAAAAAACATAAATGAAGTAATAAATTTTGGCATATCCACTACAAAAAAACATGGATTAGGTGACAGAATTTTTTGTGGCATGCAAAAATTTATCACATTTCGGTAAAATAAGTGACGCTTTTTTAGAAACCGTCACATAATAATTTTCACTAGACACCAAAATACTTTGCGTCAAATAAACTTTTGAATTCACCACAAACTATTGGGTAAGAAATTTTACCACCGAATGAAATGCTAATATGTGACGAATCTTTAAAATTCATCACATATCAAAAAAGAGGGCCACGTTATGCCATTCGTCACATATAGTATTAAAATAAAAAATAAAAATATACCGAAGAAATAATATCAAACCCCCAAAATGTAAAACCTATTACACTCAGTTCCCCATTCTCACCGATTTCGGCCGTCTTCAGCTCCCTTTTGCTTACTCTCTCACCCTAACTCTGATGACCAACCACTGGTTGTTGCCAGCGACGGCGACAACCATTCTCCTTCGTCTTCCTTTCTCGGTCACTCTCTCAGTATCATCTGCTGCTCGTTCTCTAACTCTCTCTTCTCTCTGACATAACAAAACCCAAATTGGGGAAAGGGAGATTCGGTTTTCTATCGAGTTCTTCAGGCGAAAACAAGGTACTTATTTGTTTCCCTACATTTCTTTAATTGTCTTTTGGATTTTCTTCTTCAATTCGTTATTTGGTTGCCAAGCTTAGACAGCCAGTTATCAATTTCCTTTCTCTTTCGAAAATCAATGAATAATGGGTGGCACTGTACAGTTTTAACCAGATCCACAGAATGTGAAACTTTAATTTTAATTTGCTACTATTTCATTGCCTTCGATTTTTGTCACTACTAGTGGCGACCAAAAAAAGCAATGAGCAGATGGACATGGGAAGTACAAAACTTTCTGGATCCAGGGACAGAGCTAGAAATTTCTTTTAGTGGGGGAAACTGGAAAATCAACTAAGAAAACCTTATTACAGTATAGCTTATACCCAATATGATAATAGAGATGATTTCAAATGATGATGTATTACAATTCCAATGTTACAAAAATTTCAGTGTAGTATGGCAGAGTGATAAGAAAAATATTAATACATGATTACGTGGGAGAGAGGTTTTTCGGTTTGAATGACAGAACAAAAGCACTTTTGCTCATATAATAATTGATATGAGGTATATGCAGCATGAAAGTATGTTGGACGTTAGATACTTATATTTTCTTCAAGGTAATGCGTGTGTATTATATAATTGTAGTCGGCAACTTAATAAACGAATCACTTGAGTGAGGGCATATGCCCCTATTGAGCCTTCATTGGCTCCGTCCATGTCTGGATGAATGTTAAGAGTGTACGATCACCTTCGTACACTCAACCCAATCTGATAGGATTGAAGTTTCTTTTAAAATTTTTTCTATCATTTTTTTCTTTTCTAAATTTGGTTTTGAATTTATAGGTACATGCCTCTAGCAGCCCTCTGCCTGCACATCCGCACTTTGCAGCCTCTCATTTGGGTAAATTTTGGTTTTGATTTTTCTAGATCTATATGTATTTGTGTCTGGCTGTTTAATTCTATGATTGAGGATTTTAAACTAGATTTATTATTATATATGGAGGATTTTTACTCAATTTTTCTATATGCTTTTTGCTTTTTCGTATTTTTCTTTTTACTATGAATTGTAGGATGAAATTATTTTTCTGGAATGCTTCCATTTTTTCTTTTAGGATGAAATTATTTTCTAGAATGCTTTTGTTTTTTATGCAGGATGAAAACATACATAATTGTTTAAGCTACCACTTTATACTCTGCAGTCAATTACTAAAGCTATCATTTATGTTTTCTGGAGAAGTGATTTTATTATGTGAGGTTCTATTGGAATCTAAAACAGCTAGTGCCAATGGAGACAAATTATATTTGGAGGGACCACATAAATATAATGGGGCTGAATTGGTAGTTGCTGTGAAAAAGAAAGATAACAATATATACAGTGATATGTGTATTTGAGAATAATTCATAGGCAAAGGGTCCATCGGAAAAGAGGACCATATAAATTAACATTTATCCTACAATACTAGTTGTATATGGTTCAATTTTAGTAGGTTTAGTCTGACTTGCCAAAGTGGTACTCAAGCTTCATCTATTGGTCTGAAAAAAACTTTGTTAGTTCCCTCACCGTCTATTACCAAGAGAAAATTTTTATTGTGAATGGAACACGAGTGTTACATGACGTGTTTTTATATAAGTGATAGAAAATTTTAATAACACACATATCTCATCATTTGTATAGTTACACGTGTTGTACCTGTGTTCCGGTCACACTGAAAAATCTCTCTATTACCGACGAGTTTTCTTGTAAAACATGCATGACAAAGTCACAACTTTGACGTGAGAGGATATTATATTTGGAGGGATGGGGCTAAATTGGTAGTTGCTGTGAAAAGGAAAGATAACAATATATAAGGTGATATGTGACATTTGAGAATAATTCATAGGCAAAGGTCCATTGGAAAAGAGGACCATATAAATTAACACTTATCCTACAATACTAGTTGCATATGGTTCGATTTTAGTAGGTTTAGTCTGACTTGCCAACGTGGTACTCAAGCTTCATGTATTGGTTTGAAAAAAACGTTGTTAGCTCCGTCACCGTCTATTACCAAGAGAAATTTTTTATTATGACTGGAACACGAGTGTTACGTAATGTATTTTTATATAAGTGATAGAAAATTTTGATAACATATATATCTCATTATTTGTATAGTTACACGTGTTGTACCATCCTGTGTTCCGGTTACATTGAAAAATCTCTCTATTACCGATGAGTTTTCTTGTAAAACATGCATGACAAAGTCACAGCTTTGACGTGAGAGGATATTATATTTGGAGGGATGGGGCTAAATTGGTAGTTGCTGTGAAAAGGAAAGATAACAATATATAAGGTGATATGTGACATTTGAGAATAATTCATAGGCAAAGGTCCATTGGAAAAGAGGACCATATAAATTAACACTTATCCTACAATACTAGTTGTATATGGTTCAATTTTAGTAGGTTTAGTCTGACTTGCCAAAGTGGTACTCAAGCTTCATCTATTGGTCTGAGAAAAAAAACGTTGTTAGCTCCGTCACCATCTATTTACCAAGAGAAATTTTTTATTGTGACTAGAACACGAGTGTTACATAACGTGTTTTTATATAAGTGATAGAAAATTTTAATAACACACATATCTCACCATTTGTATAGTTACATGTGTTGTACCATCCCGTGTTCCGGTCGCACTGAAAAATCTCTCTATTACTGACGAGTTTTCTTGTAAAACATGCATGACAAAGTCGCAGCTTTGACGTGAGAGGATATTATATTTGGAGGGATGGGGCTGAATTGGTAGTTGCTGTGAAAAGGAAAGATAACAATATATAAGGTGATATGTGACATTTGAGAATAATTCATAGGCAAAGGGTCCATCGGAAAAGAGGACCATATAAATTAACACTTATCCTACAATACCAGTTGTCTATGGTTCAATTTTAGTAGGTTTAGTCTGACTTGCCAAAGTGGTACTCAAGCTTCATGTATTGGTTTGAAAAAAACGTTGTTAGCTCCGTCACCGTCTATTACCAAGAGAAATTTTTTATTGTGACTGGAACACGAGTGTTACGTAACGTGTTTTTATATAAGTGATAGAAAATTTTGATAACACATATATCTCATCATTTGTATAGTTACACGTGTTGTACCATCCCGTGTTCCGGTTACACTGAAAATCTCTCTATTACTAACGAGTTTTCTTGTAAAACATGCATGACAAAGTCACAGCTTTAACATGAGAGGATATTATATTTGGAAGGACCACATAAATATAATAGGGCTGAATTGGTAGTTGCTGTGAAAAGGAAAGATAACAATATATAAGGTGATATGTGACATTTGAGAATAATTCATAGGCAAAGGGTCCATCAGAAAAGAGGACCATATAAATTAACACTTATCCTACAATACTAGTTGTATATGGTTCAATTTTAGTAGGTTTAGTCTGACTTGTCAAAGTGGTACTCAAGCTTTATCTATTGGTCTGAAAAAAACGTTGTTAGCTGTCACCATCTATTTACCATGAGAATTTTTTTATTGTGATTGGAATACGAGTGTTACATAACGTGTTTTTATATAAGTAATAGAAAATTTTAATAACACACATATCTCATCATTTGTATAGTTACACGTGTTGTACCATCCCATGTTCCGATTACACTGAAAATCTCTCCATTACCGACGAGTTTTCTTGTAAAACATGCATGACAAAGTCACAGCTTTGACATGAGAGGATATTATATTTGGAGGGACCACATAAATATAATGAGGCTAAATTGGTAGTTGCTGTGAAAAGGAAAGATAACAATATATAAGGTGTGTATAAATAAGGAAAGATAACAATATTATATTTGGAGGGACCACATAAATATCTTTACTAACGTGTGTATAAATAGCACTCTAAATTACTCATTCCTCACACCAATCACCTACTTGATATCTATATGGATAGAGTCATGAGAGTTGTTCCGCTACTCAGCTTTCTATGCATTACGTCTATTACTCTTGGCTTATGCAATGGAAACCTGAATGTGCCTTGCCAACAAAATGAGAGACAAACACTTCTTATGTTCAAGAAAGATCTCGATGATTCTTCAAATCTGCTTTCCTCTTGGGCTGCTGAAGGCGATTGTTGCACCTGGACCGGTGTTGCCTGCGACAATTTAACCGGTCATGTCCGCGAGCTCCACCTTGCTGGTTATTATGATGAAGTGACTGGTGAGCGCCATGGGCTGGGTGGTAAGGTAAATCCTTCTCTACTCAATTTAAAGCATCTCACCTACTTGGACTTGAGCTACAATGATTTTGGAGGACGACAGTTTCCCAGCTTTCTTGGTTCTCTTAAAGGTTTAAGGTATCTTAACCTCTCGGATGCAGGGTTCATGGGAACCGTTCCTCCTAAGTTGGGAAATCTCTCAAGCCTGCGTTATCTGGACCTTTCTTACAATGGTGGTTGGAAGGTCGAGAATCTCAAATGGCTTTCTGGTCTTTCTCAGTTGAAACATCTTGAAATGAGTTGGGTAGATCTTACCAGGGCATCTCATTGGTTACAAGTCAACACACTCCCTTCTCTCCTGGTCGAGTTGCATTTGTCATGCTGCAAACTTTATCACATGCCAAGTGGTATTCAGAACTTGACAAGTCTTAAAGTTCTTGATCTGTCCTCCAACTATTTCAACTCTACCATACCTCAATGGTTGTGCAGTTTGAACCATCTTGAGTCCCTTGATCTTTCTTTCAATGCTTTCCATGGTGAAATTTTGAGTTCCCTTAGAAACTTGACAGCCCTTGTTGATCTTTCATTACGTTCTAATCAGCTTGAAGGGGAAATCCCAAACTCATTGGGAAATCTTTGTAAGTTGACTTCTTTTGATGTATCGTCAAACAATTTCCGGGGGAGGGTATCAGAAATCTTTGAAAGTTTGTCTAGCTGTAGTTTTGGTCAAATAGATTCCTTACAGCTTTCGGATAATAACTTTTCAGGTCATTTATCTGATCAGCTGAGAATTTTTAAAAATTTACGCATCCTTGATCTTTCAAATAATTCAATATCAGGTCCCATTCCAGTGTCTTTAGGAAATCTATCACTCTTAGAGGAGTTGGTCATTGATCACAATTCATTCGAGGGTGTTGTCTCTGAAGTTCATTTTACTAATCTTACAAGATTGTCTACCTTTTATGCAAATAAGAACTCCTTGACTCTTAAAACTAGCCCGGACTGGGTTCCTCCTTTTCAACTTTTTAGGTTGAGTTTAAGTTCTTGGCGTCTGGACCCATCACAGTTGCCCGCATGGCTTCAGAGTCAAAAACACTTGTCCTATCTTAATATGTCCAGTACAGGAATTTCAGGTACCATTCCGGCTTGGTTGTGGAACATTTCTTTTCTTGGAAACCCGATATATCAAGTAATCTATGTGGATCTCTCTCGTAATCAATTGTCTGGGGAGGTTCCAAATATAGCTTCTACCCACTGGTTGGATTACTCTGCTCTAGAAGTTGTAATTTTTTTAGGATCTAACCAATTCAACGGTTCATTGCCACTTGTGTCTTCGGCAGTGATTGCACTAGATCTTTCCAATTCATCATTTTCGGGAACTCTCTCTCACTTCTTTTGTGATAGGAGTGATGTACCTAAAAACCTTCGAGTTCTTCTTCTTGACAACAATCTCCTCGCTGGGGAAATTCCGAATTGTCTGTTACATTGGCCTAACTTGACAGTTGTGAATTTAGAAAACAACAATTTGACGGGGAAAATCCCAAGCTCTATTGGCGACTTACTTTCCCTTCAATCATTGCACTTGCGCAATAATAGCCTATCTGGAGAATTACCCGTGTCCCTACAAAACTGTCGGGAGTTAATCCTTCTTGACCTTCGTGGAAATAAGTTTGTTGGAAGCATTCCAATATGGTTTGGCCAAAGCTTGGTGGTTCTTATTCTTCGCTCAAATATGTTCCAAGGCACCATTCCTGATGAACTTTGTAGTCTCACAAAGCTCCAAATCTTGGACCTTGCGCATAACAATCTCTCGGGAACGATACCAAGGTGTTTCCAAAAGTTGTCATCCATGGCCACTAAATTTTCAAGCAAAGAAGCTCCCAGTATTGAATTCATCATTTCTCGTTTTTATATTGATTCGTTTAATAATCGGAGGAACATCGACACCTACACAGAGAATGCGGATTTTGTGGCCAAAGGCAGAGAAGTGAAATATAGCACAGTGCTTCGTTTGGTAACTAGCTTGGACCTTTCAAGAAACATATTATTTGGAGAAATCCCTGAAGAGCTGACCAACCTCATTAACCTACAAACGTTGAATTTATCCGGTAATCTTCTGACCGGAAGAATCCCTTCCAAAATCGGTGATATGGGAGCGTTAGAGTCGCTTGATTTGTCTGTGAACCAACTTTCTGGCGAAATTTCTCCAAGCATCTCGAATTTGACATTTCTTAATAATTTGAATTTGTCCTATAACAATCTAACTGGGCAGATTCCAAAAAGCACTCAACTTCAGAGCTTTGATTTGTTTAGTTATACTGGCAATAAACTTTGCGGACCTCCATTGGAAGAGCGTTGCAGTACAAATGAGGCCATGCCACCGGTAGGTGATGAGAAGCACAGTGAAGGTCATTTACTTGAAGACGGTGGTTTCTATCTGAGTTTGGGGCTTGGTTTTGCATTTGGGTTTTGGGTTGTTCTTGGTTCATTGTTGTCTAACGTGCCATGGAGCAATACATTTTCTCAATTCCAAAATCGCATTGTGAAGAAGTTCTATGCTGCAATCGTTGAATGTTATTAACTATTTTGTGTAGATAGATCGAGTTTGTGTGATTTGTTTTTACTCTTTTGTTATCCAATTAGAATGTTACACAGTTGTATGCTTCTTTGTAGCAATTTATTTTGTCTTTTCCTTGGTTTTTTTTCTTTGGCCGTATAAAATTGTAAAATTTGCTTTATAAATACGACATTCCTGATACGGATCATGAAGTTATATATATATATATATATATGTATGTATATATATGTATGTATAATCTTAAGTTAGATGAGTTTAATTATGATCTCTCTCGTAGATATGCAATTTTCCTAATCATATACGCTGCTTGAGCCACTGTTTTCTTCTTTTATGAAATTGACACATCTTAACCCGATGTCAAGTTGAACACTGAAATCAAGACGCGTTGGCCATCACTTAGAATGTGATGGAGCCATAACGTGCATGCAGATCCAATTTAATAAAATAACTTCAAATAATCTACCAAAAATTGGATATACTTTTCTTTGAAAATAGGTTCAGGCTTAAATTTAAAACCTGCTGAAAATATTATAATTATTTCAACACCACATTCCCGAAGGGCCACACCTAACAGGTTATCAACCGTCCACTACATGCATGATAAGTTGTTCAGGGCATGACATGTTTTAGAGCAAAAACGGAAGACATGAAGGTACTAAAAGCATGGCCAGTGCTGTCCCTAATAGGGGCAGCTACTGTATAAAACCGTTATAAAACAAATATAAAGACAAATTAAATCTCCAATTGATCAGAAATGAGTCTAAAGTATAGCAACTCATCGGATACTTAATTTACGTACTCATATATAGGGACAGATGAGTGACTGAAATAGTGGAGCCCGTTGGGCAATTTGAGTGGAATAACTAGCCCACCAACTTGAGTGTTGTTGTCCGGCAAGGATTCCACTTGCACGAACGCGCAGACTTCAGGGTGGTTTCGGTTTTTCATATTCAACTTCATATCAAACAGAGCAGACTTAAGGGTGGTTTCGGTTTTTCATAAAACAGAGTAGACTTCAACTTCATATCCAAACCTATCCAAACGTGTGGGTATCCGTATTGAAAATATTTAGCGGGTAAATTTTGCATTCTTATTTTACATGTTATGCTCCACAAAAATCAATGTTATGCTCACGATCATCCAATTTCATTAAAACATAATGCGAGAGCAAAATGAAGAGTTAAATAACCATTATAGACTATACTAGATAATAAGCCCACGCGTTGCGGTGGGAACCGTTTCAGCCGTAACTGCATGAATAAGACACACTTAACTTGAATAAATTCAACACAATCAAGAATGAATAGAGGGACACATAACTAACAGGATAATGAATCAGAACATAGTAGTCAGTTAGAAAAGATTAAAAACACACAGAGCAAGAATGTGAACACTAAACTTATGTTTTCTAACAAATTAAAGCACCCTAATAACAAAACAATGGAAAATCACAAACCTGGAAGGTCCTCTTGCACTCGTCAACCAAGACTTTGAGCTGATTGAGCAGCTGCCGGACCATCTCTCGCCAATTCAAGAGCAAGCACACCATTAAAATATCAAAACAAACCGGAGCTGCTTGTTGGCCAAGCTCAGGTCCTCAAACATGCCCTCCTTGAGTACTGTCTGTTAGAGTATGAGTGTGATTCTCACAGTTTAGTAATAATCATTGTTATTTCAGATTGTTATAAAGAGGTCTTAATGTGTTTATAAGAGTTAATTCAACTTTGGTTTGGATTGAAACTCTATTGTTGGCTTGAGAATAGAACTCATACTTGTACAAGGATTTGGTCTTGTATTCCTTGTAGGATTATTATAGGGTAATCCAGATTTTGTAGTATAAAAACCACAAGCCCCTGCTCTCACAAAAATACGCTCTTATTGTTCCAATTACCTATAACTTGGAGAGCATTGAGTTTTGCAGAGAGGAGAAGGTTGTGTGTAGATTTCTCTAATGGCTCTTAATCCTAATTTGTTGAACATAGTTATGATATGGTGTCTAGCACTATTCTTTCCTTTGATCAATGCCGTAAAGAACATGTGTGTTGCTGGTACCGTCCAAAACTTCACCTCTCAGTTTTCACACTACACAGAAGGCACATCTGACCGTCGATATAATATGGCTGAGACCTTGGTTTTCTTGTCACACTTTGTGGGAGATATTCATCACCCGATGCATGTCGGGTTCAGGACAGATGAGGGAGGAAACACGATAGCCTTGCGTTGGTACAGAAACAAATCCAATATTCACCATGTGTGGGATAGGGAGATCATACAACAAACTATGAAGGACTATTATGACAGAACACACGGGAAAGACTTCGGCAAACAGTTTTGCTGGTATGTGTTGCAGATATTACTTCAGTATTTGCATATACAGAATATTTGGAGTGATGATTGTGATTTAGTTGGTTAAATCTTATGTTCTTGGCTAGTTTGTTATAGAGCTTATATGGTTGCTCTTACACTGTGTGCTCAGAATAACCTCGTGGAATTGCCTCGTGTGCATAAGGAAGAAACTGCAACTCAATGAGACAGACTACTGTAAAGTAACTCATGGTTCACACTCCAAATTATAGAAAACAAATGCTAATCAACACACAAAAATGAATAAAAGACATGAAATCATTGTATTTGAATAAAATCACTCACCTCTTGATCACTCCGAATGTAAGCCATTCCCTCTCTCTCTACACACACACACACACACAAACAGACACACAAAATAAGAGAAGCAGACTTGCAGAGAAATAAAAGGGTAAAAAATGAAGAGGCAACAAATGGTATGAAGAGTATAAGTTATGTTGAAAACCTTCTTAAAATTAACCACATTTGGATTTGATCAATTACAAAAAAGAATTAGCAACTGCATTTTAATAACATCGTCTCACTAAAAAAAAACTCACGAAAAATAGTCTGTGGTTAAAGGGATTCTGTCTGATCCCAAAACATAAATCTCTCAATCTCTCACTGTCAATCAAATACGTACTAAATCATGTTCCAAACCACAATGCATTCAAAGCAATAATCAATTGAGCACACTAAATAAGTGGAAACATTTATACCTCAATCCAATTCGAAGCTTAAATCTTCTTGCAGGAAAAGTTTGAACTGCAAAAGCAAATTACATTCATCAAGAAAAAGGAATGAATTTAAAAAGTCAAATACAATGCAGAAAAATAGGCATTCAATTTAGCTCTATTTATATTAGACGAAGATCCATTGAAACAACTATGAACACAGAAATAAAAAATGGAAAAAACAACCTTTTTTCACCCTTCCATTTCTTTCCACAGGTAAGAAAACAAAAATTCTCTAAAACAACCAAAAACTCATTCTATATCAACTAAACAGGAAAAGGACAGAGGAATGAGTGTAATAATAGGTTACAAAATTGAGATGATCCAAACGGAAAGGAGTTCGTGGGGGAGATCTGAGAAGGACGACATTGTCGTCCGTATTGGTAGTTGTCATATTTCTTGGAGAATTGCCAGACTGCTTGCTGCCACATTGGTTTTTCTCGTAATTTTGTTTTTGGTTTCTTCTGCCCAATTTGTGTCTCCTCATGTTTGCTTGCAGTTACAGACATTGATAGGGTTTGCATTTTCTTCCAACTGAAGAAAGGAATGGGCATCTTGTTATGCTAAATAGATTATGTGTTCAATGTGAATGGAGAGCCAAATCCAAGCAGTAGGGTTTCCATTGACTTCCCACCAAGGAATGCAAAATCTATTGCAAGGATAAAGAAAGAGCACAAACTCATAAAATATGATACAAAACCGTAAAAAACAGGAAACGTTATTCTCAAAATGCACAAAAATATAAAAACAGATAGATCCCTACGTATTCAACCTTCAGAGCACACAAAATTAAAATTTTCTTCAAAAAAGAAGTCAAAAGGGAAAATCTGAAATTATATAGCCCAAGCACAAAAAGCTTGGAAGCCTACACACAAAAGCCCCAAAAAACTATAGCCACACTCAAAATCCGAACCCTAAAAACCAAAACCACAAACAGAAAACTCGTCAGAAACCCTAGAATATCCAAATTCGAAGAGACCCATAGCCCCCAGCTAGTCCAATCCAGTAATAAAATCATAAAAGCAAAAATTTAAACAAATCTCATACCTTGCACCAAAATTCATGATCATTATCCAAAACTCCAAAGTAAACATAAAATCAAATTAACACCTCAATTTTTCTTGTACCTGCATCACCATGATCAAGCTCTCCTACAACCGCAGCAATTCCCCATTTCAAATCTGACCCTAAATCATTAAAAAAAAATTCAACACAAAAAGGAAAGGTCAGTACCTATAATTCGAGTTCACGCTACTCAGGGTCACCGACGTTGTTAAGGTTATTCATCATTGCTCGATCACTCTTGTTAATTTTCTTTTTCGTTTGGTTTTGTTTCTGCTTTTCTTTAACAGCGTAGGCACACAAAACCAATCAAATTCATTCACCAACTTACGCCACAAAAACATGAATATTTGTTTCAAATTTCAATCTCAAAAAACAGAACCAATCAAATTAATTCACCAATTGATGCACAAAGCACACAACTTTGAAACTCAATCCCTATTATTGCACACAAATTGTTGACTTTTAACACAAAACCCACATCCAATTCCACATAGCAAAAACTGGACAATCAATAATTTCAATCCTAACTACAACCTTGACACAATTATAACCGAAACAACTCTAATCACTTTACAGAAAAGATAAAAAAAAAGATAGATAGAAAGTGGATGTACCTGTAATACGGAACTGTCTGAAGTGAAGAACACAAAGATGTGTGCGTTGCTGCTCAAATTTGCAGAGTGAGAGAGACAAAGTACCCAGAACCAAAATAGAAAAAACTAAAAACTTCAAGTTAAAAAAATTAGAGAAATAAATCTGAAATTTTAGAGAGACAAAGTGAGGAGAGGGAAATAGGCGGAGGACCTTGGGCGAGGAGGCCATTGACGGCTTTGTTGGGGGAGGACCTCAGTGCAGTATTTCACAATCTCCCTTAAGCTTTGCCCCAAAAATTAAAAGCAACATATCATGATTGAAGAACAAAGCAGCTGAAGAGCACTGCCGCAGTTCCATCACGTAGCACGACCAGTACAGCAAAGCAAGAGGGAAATATGGAGTCCTCGCCTCATGCTCGTTAACACCACTTTATGAATCTGTGCGTAAATGACTACAAATATTACAAAAGGCGTTGTTCTCTTCGTCAATAAAATGAACAAAAATAAAAAAATCAGTACGCAAGAAAGACCAAAATAATCGTTGAGGGGGAAGAAATTGATGAAACATCAAACCTTGAGAACTTGATCTTCTGGGCAGCGAGTCGAAGAGCTGAAGTGGCCTTGAAGGAAGTGAGTTCGACTGGAGTCTAGGGTTTGAGAGCAATGGAAAACATTTTACTCAAATAACGATTTAATTTTTAAATTTTAAAATTAAAGATAACTAAATGCACATATTTGGAAAAAAAATGGAATGTTTCCATATGTAAATCTCACCCTCAACAGTTTTAAAACGCAGTCATCCCAGTGCAAATAGAAGGTGGAAAATGTTGTCCCAGCACAAACACAACCTGCAAAGCAAACAAACCAACACACACAAAAAACCAAATGATCAACGATAAAATTTAGAAACCCTACCACGCAAAATCGCAAGAACAACATAAAAACGCCAATGATGGCCTCAAACCCGAACAAAATCCCAAATCAGTTAAAAAAATAGTGAAAATGAACTGAACCCATTCCTCTATCATATTCTTTTCCTCTGTTTCCCTATCCCTAATCCCAAATCTCTCTTCCATGCTTTCTCCGCCATACATTAATGCCTACGAATCGACTCATTGTACACCTAAACAATGAGAGTGCAGCTTCTATAAGTGAATCCACAATGTAAAACATCTTAACAGTTCAAATTAAATAGAAAAATATTTAAAATTTTGAGGAAAAGGTCATCAAACCATATAGAACCACAAACACAAAGCACATAAGAAATGCAAAGATGCAGATTTTCAAGGAAGCGTAACAACCTCCAGGAGCAAACCAATCGTGAAACCCTAAAAACCAAAAACCCACAAATCTGCCCTCCCTGAGGAACCATCCGAGATTCAAGGAAGCTTAACACCTGATGGCTAAGCTAAGTGCATTAAATACAGGAATTCAGTACTTTACACAGCTTGTAAAAAACGTATTTTGAAGATCTGGATCATTGGTGAAGGCAAGCTGATGAATGTAGTGTGTGTTCTTGAGCTTCTTCAAGAGCCACAGCCCGGAGCTGAATAAAGAGTTTGAATGATCCTCGTAAAGATACCCCAAGTGTGGGCCCGATATAGAAAGATATATGTACAGGTACGGCAAATAATGCTATCTGCAAAAATGATGGCCAATATCTTACGGAGGAGATTTACACCTTCTTAATTTTTTTACCTTTTCATGTTTTTTTTATTTGAATGGTCACGGTTAAATTCTGTCAATATCTTATATTAATTTTATTTATAGAGATAATAAGACAAAAAATAATGTGTGAAAGGAGATGATGTTAATGGATGATAATAAGAGGGTACAAAATCTTTCTCCATATCTTACACCGACTGCATATAATGAGAAAACATGACGTCAAATTGGTATGGAGTTGTAAAGTTGCAGCATAAAACATGAATGACCAACAAATGAATATTTTAACCCATAAATCACTAACGTTTAAAGTCAAATTCCTCTAATTTGGCATGGGCTTCCTTAAGATTTCTCTCAGTGTCATCGAAGACCTCCTTGCTCCAAGATTGCAACTTCTTTTTAATAATTTTTAACTTATTGGAAAATTTGTAACCTTCCCAACCTTCGACTATCGCAGAATGCCACCACTCTTTGAGATTGTTTCTAAAGTCTAGATGTTGTAGCCATGAGTTCTTGAACCTAAAAGGGCCTAGCCCCCACTTCACCTTGTTGGTATCTAATTCGATTGGGCAATGATCAAAGGTTACCCTTGCCAGAGCCTTTTGCCTTGCGTGTGGAAACGACTCCTCCCAACCACCAGAGAGTAAGAATCTGTCTAATCTTCGGCAAACTATTTCTTCTCGAAAATTAGACCAAGTGAACTGAGCGTTGAGCAGATCTGGGTCAATGAGTTTAGAGTCCTAGATAAACTGGTTAAAAATCCTCATACTTGCAGTGGACCTTCCCCTGTTTGACTTGTCGTTTTCGAACCTCACCACATTAAAATCTCCTCCCACACACCATCTTGGACCGCAAAGACCGTAAAGGCCAGCTAGTTCTTCCTAGAAATCTTGTCTCTCCCTATATTTGCAAGGGCCATAGACCCTTGAGAGCCACCATTCCAGAGCATTCAACTCTCTAATTTTGATGGAAACGAAGAACACTCCTACTAGAGACTCGACTTAAAAAACCAAAACCCTATTAGATGAAGAGTTCTCACTGTTAAACCTTAAAATTGGAGGAGACCTAATGAAGGCATCGACTGTTGGTGAAGAATTGTACACCCCTAAACGAAGATGAGTGTTTATGGAAGAATGAACTGTCAATTTTTGTAACATTATTTATCTCAATTTTCCTTTGGATTATATGTGCTTCGTATTTAATTTTCCACCATTGCATTATTAAGGGTGTTATCCGTGTCTAGATTTTGTTTGAAGGTTATCATTGACTATGGTAGTGAATCGAGAAATTTGTTGTGTTCTTAGAAAGTGAAAATAGCATATTTTAAGGTTTACGGGATAAAAATTCTTCAGGTGCATATTAGAAAAATTAGTGAAAGCACCACTTGATTATCGCACAAGAATCTTTTAATCAACAACTAGTTATTTGTATGAATTAAGGGTATTTGGTGAAAGCACCACTTGATTATCGCACAAGAATCTTTTAATCAACAACTAGTTATTTGTATGAATTAAGGGTATTTGTGTCTATTTAAGTGATATTTTGGATATATTTTAAAGTTTTTATAAATAATGACATTTTTGAAATTAGAGGCTAATATTTGGCTATATTTGATAAATACCTTCTTCTTCTATCATTGTGATTTTGCAAGCCGCAAGCTCTTTCTCTCCCTCCCTCTCTGCAAGCCAAAGGCTCTCTCTTGTAACCCACCTCCTGCACCTTTCATCTTCCTTCAACTTTCCACACAAATGTCGATCCCACCGAGTGCAAAACAAAACAAACAAAATTACCCTTGAATTTGTTAGAATTACCCTACCCTCCAAACCCAACCCCCATTTGGCTGGCATTGTTATAAATATCATGAAATCGAGTGGCTCTGTGCTAAACCATACAAACAAAATTACCCTCTGAACTTTTGAGAATTACCCTCCCTAGCTAGCTGGCATTGTTGTAAATAGAGTGAAATCGAGTGGCAACGAATTGATGGCATCTACAATGCCTTTTCCCCCTACTTTAGACTAAAGCAATGTGATAAAAATTGATTTCTTTCACACACTCTATACTAATATGATCGAATGTTCTACCTCCATCAACTATTCTACCATATGTATTAGTATTACTATCGTAGTCATACTAAAGCATGTGTACAGATTAACGTGCACGTGTTCAAGTGTGTGTGTCTGCATATTTGGCCACGTGTTACCATCACATTTGGGGGGACCATGTTACTTGACAAGGACCAAGCATGGTAAAAAAATTTGGAAGTTACCAAAACCGGCGCCAAAAAGGATTCCCGCTACAATATTAAAAGTTTGAAAAATATCCAGCCATGTCTTCCCTTACCGCAAGCTTCTTTCCTTAGAGCAGTTGCAGTGTGTAAAAGCTTCCTATGACCATAGGTAATTCAACCCCCTCAAGTAAATAGTTACTACTTTTAATTAAGAGTAATTACCTATTGCATCTCTATCTATAAACTGAATATCACAGGCAATTCGTTTTAAAATATTAGTATTTGTTATTTTATAAAATAATAAAGATTTTTTTTTTTAAATTTCGGATATGATTTTTAACCAAATCTCGTCACACCATGTGTCATTATCTGAAAGTACAATTTTGTGGATAGATTTCAATAAGATTTTTATCTAATTTTGTCGCGCCACATGTCGTTACCTATTTAGAATTGTTGAGGATAGATTTCCGATAAGATTTTTAACCAATCTCGTTGCTCCACGTGTCATCATCTGTTTAGGATCTTTGAGGATAGATTTTCGATAAGATTTTTAATGAATCATGGTGTGTCACATGACATTATCTACAACCTAATCCTTTCTTTTTTCTTCATATAACCTACCATCCATCCTAAGAAATCTACACTAAAATCAAAATCTCTCAATAAAAAGTTCAAAGGAAATACAAGGCAAGATACAGGTGTAACCTAATCATCTATATGCCACTTCAAAGGCTCCTCATATGAGCTAAGACTTGCCACCTGCACAATAGCTCCCTATACCGTGGAAATAATGCATCGGACAAACAATACCCGAATAAGCTGCAAAGTTCGATGGATGCGACACACAGCCTATATGTACCACAATCAATTGAACAAGGCCAAAGTTCGCTTGTGTTTTTGTTTCTTGCCTTTCGTTCATCGTGACTACATTTCTTCTTGAGTAAGTAAATTTCTGTGCTTTTTTTAGGGTTACAAGAGTCAAATTATTAAAGAGACGAGCCAAAGGCGCACTTCCAACAACACCAATATATATTATCAGCAACTTGTTAATTATCACCTGCACAGTCCGACATGTGTGGGGTTTTATCACAAAAGGTCTCGATATTAGTTATGGTGGAGTTATGATATTTAAACTCTTCTTTTCTTGTAGATAGAGTCGATGTGAGATATTTCAACAATAAGATGCTGCTATTTTTCTTTGGAACTTCTATTATCGATGTGAAAGTTGTGTGATATTGGTGGCAGACACATGAGCTTGCATTTGCGCAGAGTCCTATGGTTTTGGTGGCAGAGGTTATGTCTTATGGTCAAGGAAGCATGGTCTTTGCTCCTTATGGAGATTTATCGAGATCGCTCAGAAAGATTTGTATTTTCGAGCTGCTGAGCCCGAAACGTGTGCAGTCTTTCAGATCCGTTAGAGAAGAAGTGGTACGGAATCTTGTTGAGTCCATTGGCTCAACGTCTCACGAGGGACTTGCCATCAATTCTAGTGATAGGTGTTGCAGCTTCGCAAATGACGTAGTGTTAAAGGCAGCATTTGGGAAAAAAATGCAAAGACCAAAAGGAGTTCCTTCTGCTACTAAACGGATTAATCAAACTCGCTATTGGGTTTGATATTCCTGATTTGTTTCCTTCGCTCAGTTTTCTTGGGTACGTTACTGGGTCTATCCTTGCTATGAAAGACATGCAAAGCAAGCTCAGTATGATTCTTAACGATCATAAGATCGAAAGATCCAAAATGGACTTGATGATCAGTAGTACTAGTACTACTACAGCAGGCAATAACAAAGCGAAGGAGGAGTCGGAGGGAAATTCTGCTGACGTACTTGTAAAGATATCATTTTGGTGTTTAATGTAGGCTTGCTTTGTTGTACTGCAGACATTTTATCTTCGTCATCACTCATCATTTGATAAAAATATATGATTTGTGAAATAAATTGAGAGTGTGTGTGAGAAGTAAAATGGGAGACACCATAGTTGTTGGAGATGGCGTTACTGGAACAGTGGTAGAAGTACCTTTTCTTGCTGGGCAGCACCTGCCATCGAAAAACTCAAGCTCTTGAGGTGCAATAACCTGTAGGTTACGACTTTGAAACGCAGTTTTCATCTGTGCTTGATTTTTGTTGTTCTTTACCAAAAGAAAACACAAATGTGTAGTGAGTACTAGGGAAATTGACAATCCTTATGAAGCTTTTCATACAAAGTACAAAGTGAATAGATAAAATCAAACTTAATTCGTTTTGTTTTGTGTAATAAACTTTGCGGTTATGCTGGCAAAGTACAAAGTACAAAGTGAATAGATTCCAAAAAACACTCAGCTTCAGAGCTTTGATTTGTCCAATTATGCTGGCAATAAACTTTGAGGACCTCCATTGGAAGAGCGTTGCAGCACAAATGAGGCCATGCCACCGGTAGGTGATGAGAAGCACAGAGAAGGTCATTTACTTGAAGACGGTGGTTTCTATTTGAGTTTGGGGCTTGGTTTTGCATTCGGGTTTTGGGTTGTTCTTGGTTCATTGTTGTCTAATGTGCCATGGAGCAATACATTTTCTCAGTTCCAAAATCGCATTGTGAAGAAGTTCTATGCTGCAATCGTTGAACGTTATTAACTATTTTGTGTAGATAGATCGAGTTTGTGTGGTTTGTTTTTACTCTTTTGTTATCCAATTAGAATGTTACACTATTGTATGCTTCTTTGTGCCAATTTATTTTGTCTTTTCCTTGGTTTTTTCTTTGGCTGTATAAAATTTGTAAGATTTGCTTTATAAATACGACATTCTTGATACGAATCATGAAGTTATATATATATATATATATATAATCTTAAGTTAGATGAGTTTAATTATGATCTTTCTCGTAGATATGCAATTTTATCAAGCATATATGATGTTTGAGCCACTGTTTTCTTCTTTTATGAAATTGACACACTTTAACCCGATATCAAGTTGGACATTGAAATTGAGACTTGTTGGCCGTCATCCGGAAGGTGACGTAACCATAACGTGCATGTAGATACAATTTAATAAAATAACTTTCAATAATCTACCAAAAATTGGGTATAGTTTTCTTTGAAATTAGGTTCGGGGCAAAATTTAAAACCTGCTGAAAATATTATAATTATTTCATCACCACTTCCCCGAAGGGCCACACCTAGCAAGTTATCAACCCTCCACCACATGCATGATAAGTTGTACAGAGCATGACATGTTTTACATCAAAAACGGAAGACATGAAGGTGCTAAAAGCATCTCCAGTGCTATCTCTAATGGGGATAGCTACTGTATAAAACCGGTATAAAACAAATATAAAGCCAAATTAAATCTCCAATTGATCAGAAATGAGTTTCTAAAGTATAGGGACTTATCGGATGCTTAATTTATGTACTCATATATGGGGACAGATAAGTGACTGAAATAGTGGAGCCCGTTGGGCAATTTGAGTGGAAAAACTAGCCCACCAACTTGAGTGTTGTTGTCCGGCAAGGATTCCACTTGCACGAAACGCGCAGGCGTAGTCCACGTAGAGAATGTGCTATGAAAATGCAATTGTGACTTTCCAAACTACTAAAATTTTCAACGACAAGAATTTAAGCTCATATTCAACGATGCGGGAGCATAACCCTACCTAAGGTCCCCAACACACATATATACATATAATATTTTCAAAAATATAAAACTGAGCAGACTTAAGGGTGGTTTCGGTTTGTCATATTCATCTTCATATCCAAACCAGTCCATATGTGTGGGTATCCGTATTGAACATATTTAGCGGGTGAATTTTGTGTTCTTATTTTACATGTTATGCTAACAATCATCCAATTTCATTCAAACATAATGTGGGGAATAAAGCTGACCAGTTTTTAATGTGAGAGAGCAAAATGAGGAGTTAAATAACCATTATAGACTATAATAGAAAATATGTATGCGCTTCGCTGCGGGGATTCAATGTATTAGTCGAAACAGACATGAATAGTTTTTACACAGTAACTAAAATGACGATACAGTACCTAAGAACCAATGAAATGATGCTTTGCTTGTTATACATGGATATGCATGCCATATGAAAGGGATTGAATGTATTAGTCGTGAATACATAAACTTCAAAACTTAATTCACTTTATAAAATGTATATACATAGAATCTAAGCAGATCTTAATCTTTTAATCCCACAATAATTGAGATTACTATTATAGTGTCAAGAAATGATTGGAGAGAAGAACATGGGTAAACCCTGTGACAGAAGAACAGACTTACAATAATTCAGCCTTCAATCCTATGGTCCTTCAGATCGAAGAGCCAAATCTTAATGCAAGCTTGCTGCAATTTTCCAGAAATACAAATAAAAAGTTTACCCAAGTCAGAAAATTAACCGATATGCAAGCTTTCTACGAAATTCAGACGACAAGATCAACAAAATAGAATGAAAAAATGACTTACACTTTTAAGGCATGCTCAAATCTTGATCTAAAGTTGATGGTGAGTCGATTGGTGGTCACCAACTCTAAATGAGAATTCATCAAAAACCTAGAAATTTAAACGAAGAATTTTACAAAATCAACATTTACTAAGACCCATTATTTTGTTTGTCATGTATGATGCCCTGCCAAGACTGAATAAAAAAGTGCACAATAGAGAGTTGAAAATCCATCTTCAAAGTACTATCAAATGCCAGCATTTACCCAATTTTAAGAAGTTGAATTGTTAAAACTTAAACCCCATGATCAACTCACCTTACACAATACCAAGTTATACTTGCGAGTTGCAATCTCTATCAGTTAACAAACTTTAGAGCAAAAAGAGTCTTCCCCATTTAAGACTAAAACAAAACTAATCGAGTAGAAAACTCTGATTACAAACATCCACCAAATGATTTCAAATTAGTCCCCAAACTTGTATAACATGTTTTTATGCAAACAGAACAACGAAAGAACGAAAAACTTAGAACCAAATGATTTTAGTAAAGCAAAGAAATTGGAGCTAAAACAAACAAAATGTATCAAATTAACAATATGCAATCAATTAGCAATTTCATAAAAAAAACAGCTAAAGGGTCAGACCCAAATGAGAGTAAAAGTTAGGAATTCACAAAACCAATTGAAAATTCTAAAATTTCAAACAGCCACCAAATAATTTCGTATAAAGCTCTAAACTCGAATATTTGTTACCAATACAAGGATACATAAGAATGAGAAGTAAAATATGAAAATTTTAAAACAAATGGCCAATCCTGCAACACCATCACAGATATAATTGTCCATAGCTATACCAACACAAATCCGAAATCATATATATTATCTAATACAATTCAAACTAAATATGCAGCTAAAGTAGTTCTTAAAACTAAAAGAGGAGAGATATCATGTTATATTCTGACATCCAACGTCATGAAAGTTTATAAAGGGGTTATCATATAATATTCATTTTTCCTTCGTAAATTGAAATTACACGTAAAGGCGTAACAAACGGTATACCATAGTTTTTGAAAAGAGCTAAATGTAGAAATTATAATTAGCTAAATGGTTTTAAACACAAAATTAGCCAAAAGCGGTAAAGAATTACATCCTAATCAATACTTATCAATGAGTGCCCCTGCTTACGTTACGTTCGATCCAAAATTTGCATTGAACAACAATAAAAAACAAAAGAAAACAGAGACAATATCATATTGATGGATTATGGCAACATCAAAGCCAACAATAAAGCAAGGAAAGAGAGAAAATATAAAGATAAAATCCAAAATTGGATTTAGAAATTTAAGTCCTCATCTCTCTTCATGTGGTTGTAATTCTTCAGCCCTTTTATGGTATTATTGTGCGGTAGATGAATGTGAGGTAGGGTTAAGGGTATCAACCAAGGTTCTAAAAGACGCTAGGTGCTAGTCGGGTGACGAGCTGGGGCCTAGCGTCTAGACGGCTAGGCGGGGTCTAGACGGATTTAACTAAATCCATTATATTTCATGTAAATAAGTGTATGTTTATACTTAAAATATATATAATTTCATCGTAAACTACAAAATATAATGACACATATATTATGAAGTATTAGAACATAATGAAAACATGAGGAACAAGCATATAATGTGTGCTCATTTAAGTATTCGACAAGTCTCTTAGAATTTATTAAAAAAAAAATAAAATGCAAAATGAAAGTTATTTATTTTCTGCCTAAGTGAGTTGATGCCTAGGCGGGCGCCTCAGTAGGTCTATGAGTCATTTCTTAATTTTCAAACGCCTAGGCATTAATCGGGGCGGTGACCAACCACCTAGCGTCTAGGCAGAGATAGGCGGGGATTTTTAAAACAGTGGTACTATCAATCGTTCCTGGAAAAACAAGCACTCAGTCGGAAATAAATCCAAACTGATGCAATTTTGCTTTGCAAAGGGAAAACTTTGCAGAACGTGGAGGTTACATTTTTAACATAAGAATTGCAACTATTGCTTGCAAAGGGAAAATAAATCCGGAACAAAATTAACAAAAATATCATAGAATGCTAAGCTGCAATCTTGAGCATGATCAACCTACTTATTTTGAATCGAGTGACAACATACAAAATATTTTAAAATGATGACACGAAAAGGTATGATAAAAAAGACGAAAAATAGAAACAAAAATACCACTCAAGCACCCAATGACATTGGAATTCTTCGTATCCTCTTGAAATGAAATGGGCTGAGAGCCAGTTTTTAACATGCATGTCACAGACCCCCTTCAAATGGAAACAATAGAAAACACCACCTTCAAACCCAAACACTAAAAAGAGTCAAATGACATACATGATGTTTTTGACAAATCCAATTAAATTTTTGGGTAGAAATTAAAATATGAATGAAACACACTACAAATTGTATCTTTTGTGTCTTAAAAATGTAATTCAAATCCGAAAATAATAAAGATGGTAAACTATAGTCATGTGTGACTGCACCTATCGCTTGATAATTCACATTATAATGCTTGTAAGTATATATCAACAGTTAAAAAAAAAAAAAAAAAACAGACGAGAACGCATTCTTTACATTACATAACAAACGTATATATGCGTTCAGGACACTATTACATAGAAAGCTTAGAGAAATTCTAACCCTTCTTGGGTCACTTCCAAATAATTAAAATTGAGGAGAAGACAACTTAATATATGCACAGTACAATTCACGAATGGACGCGACGATGGATAAAGAATCCATTCATTTTTCCCTGTCTACGAATCAAAGAGAGAAAACATTTGCATAAGAATGATCCTTCAAGCTCGGGCTTCACCGATCCGATGGAGTCGGAGCCCTTTCGGCGGCGGGCTGATCTCCCGTCGTTGGCTTCCAGGGCCTTGCACATGGCCCGCCACTATGGCCAGTGCTATTGGGAGCTCTCCAAAGCTCGCCTCAGGTACTCAGTACCTCCTTTTCTTCAATCCATTTTTCATTGAATTTTTTTAAAACTCAATCATTTTTCATCTGGGAATAATTAAATCATTGTATTATCTGATATTTTTTGATAATTTCTGTGATAATTTTGTAATTTTGTGTGTGCGCGATTATTTGATATGTTTAATCTCATGTTGATTCACACAGTTGTATTGCCCTTAAACGTTTGATTTTCTATTGGAAAGCAAGATTTAATTTCAATGTATCAATAAGATAATCTCTGTGGACAAGCTGTCATTCTTAAACAAACTGGATTGCAGAAACAATAATTAGGTTATCGAAAAGGATACACCCCATTGTGAAGAAAGTGAGGAGAAAAAAAGAAAAAAAGAAATCAAGTTTGAACACATTAAGTCCTCCTTGCCCGCAAAAATATGGTCTTTGAAATTCTCTTGTTTCTCTCCAGCAACAATTTTATGCCTCTCAAGAATCAGGGAACCTAGATAGGATTTCCCAACTGAAATTCTCTTGCTCTTTTATACTCAGTTTTAACACATTATACACCAGCATGGAGACGAACAGACGTGTAGTCTTGTCCTTATCCTCCATGAGAAACCAATGAGGCGGCTAACCAAGAAAAAACTAAATCAATAAAGAGAGATGGATTGTCACATAAACCGAGAAGTTGCCACATGGTTATAAACTCCATCTTCTAGCATCTGATCTAACCAGATATAAACGAAAGTTCCCCGAAAAAGACAATCAAGAAGTGAGCTCCCCCTATTTCCAAATCATTGAAATCTTTCCTGAAACCATCCCAGCTCAATGGAATACAAGTTCTTACAAATCTAGTAAGGGGCATGTTTTAATAACTGGAGATATTGTACAGGTGAGGAAACTAATTATTCAAATATGACTCCCCAACCCTTTTTCTCTTCCTAGAATTCATCCTCTCTTCTGTAACCAGTGCTAACTTGCAGCAAGATGAAGGGACTCTTATCCTGAGAATTCTATTTTGAACGGCTTGGACTCGATCTCCTCACAGCTGATTTTGCATCCCACCCATGTTCATGTAACCCATACTCGTTTCAATATAAACATTCATAAAGGATCCCTTTCTCAAGGAAATAACCATTGTCGCTTAGTGAGAAAATACATATTTTCCTCCTCCATCTAGTTAAGTTGAGTTATCACTTATTAAGTTATTATGCCAATTTTTTTTCAACTCCTGAATTCAGGACTCAGTTTGATTGCTCTGTTAGAAAAGGATGTTTCGATGTTTTGCTTCAACATGTAAAAACAGTATTGGGTGTATTTTCATTCATGCATTAAACATGTACATTTTGTGTTCGTAGCGGATTCTCTTCCAACTTGGGGATTATCAAATTTTCGTCATTGAAACTTAGTTTAAGATTTTTTTTCTTATGAGTTTTTCACTTTCACAGCATGCTAGTCGTTGCAACTTCTGGAACTGGGTTTATTCTTGGAAGTGGCCATGCCATTGATTTTGCTGGACTTTGTTGCACATGTGTGGGTACCATGATGGTTGCAGAATCTGCTAATTCCTTAAATCAGGTTTGCTGTTCAATAACAGATTTTTCTTTCTACACACACACAGTGTACGGAAGTGGAGCTAACTGGTGGGTCAGTGTGCGAAGAGAGGTCTCCCTTTAACAGGAATACATACACACACCGACATGAAAATTATGAACAAAATATTTAATGATAATTAGAATCGTTTCAAGATTAATGGTTTTCGAAAGTTTAGTATTATTTTATTTCGATGGTGCAGTTTCTAATTTATCATTGTTCAGGGCCCATTTGATCGTTTTTGAGTAGTTAATGGCTCACTATTTGCAGTACCTGTAGTTTTGTAGATCAACAATTTGATCAGGTAAGGTGTTAAATCATTGAAATTATTTGGTTTTAGGTGTTTGAGAAGCAAAATGATGCCAAAATGAACAGAACAAAAAACAGACCACTACCTTCAGGACGCATTACGATCCCTCATGCAGTCACCTGGGCATCCGCTGCCGGTTTAGCTGGCACTGCTTTGTTAGCAAGCAAGGTGCCCAAATGAATTCACACTTTCTTCTATAAATGTTATATGACATTAAATTTCTGATTTCCATCACCTCAAATGTTTGATTGTTTGGGGACTAATGTTGCAACTCTTCGGACAAGGTTGTTGCAGGCTAATATGTTGGCAGCTGGTCTTGGAGCTTCCAATCTAATACTTTATGTGTTTGTCTACACTCCATTGAAGCAGATTCACCCAGTGAACACATGGGTTGGTGCTGTTGTTGGTGCTATCCCTCCACTTCTAGGGTAATTTGTTCCGTAATTTTCTTTGAGCTACATGCTATTTTCATTGGACCTATTGGAGTTACTTTATTTATTGCTTTGGCCGTTGAACAATTATTCTTTCAATTGACTTATAGTAGCTTAAATGTTAGTTGTTGCAATATATTTTCGCAGCCCAAAACTGAGCTGGGTTTTCTCTAATCCCCATTAAGCATAGCATTAAATAAAAACCAAGTTTGTTTTCCAATATCTATTGAAAGTACCCATTGCTGTACTGTACTAAATGTATTATACATAAAACTGCAAATTCCCCCATTATCTTTTTCTCTCTGTCCTCCCCACGACCTCCTCTCTGGTCTGAATTTTTTTGTAATATCTACGAACTTACCTCATAGCTTCCACTTGTTTAACAGTAAAATAGATCTCTCTCTCTCGCGCTTACACACATACACGTGTTTGCTTGTGCGTACGCCTTGTTATGTCACCATTTTCAAGTTGATCTTGAACAACCCCATGCAGAGGTAGTTTTCTTTGCGTCACCATCTGATTGGTTAACACTCCTGTAGCCAAGGACTGCACCACAAAGTAACACAATTATTGTTGATCAGTTTGTCTTTGCATGTATATGAGAGGATGATTGACCATTACCTACCTCTCTCTGATATCCCGTTTTATCTGCCCCATAGACTTTTAGATATGAAGCTTCTAACCCTGCCAATCAACTTTGATCTTAGGATGTTATTATGGAGATCTGTTGGGAATCATGGTGGCTGACTTTAGCCGTAGGCATAAAAAATAGAAACCGGGTTTTTTTTATTCAGTTACTAGTAGTTTTACTATTTTCTTGTCTATAATTCAACCTTACTTTTTCTTATTGATACAAGAGCAATTCTTATTTATTCTGATTGAAAAAAATGGGAATAGATCTAATTTTCTTCATTATAATTCTTTGTGCTGGAAGTTCCCCTTGGAGAATTCATATACTCTATAATTTTCTCGATGTTGAAGTTCCCTTTGCAGATCTGAACTGATATTCTTGTTTGTTTCATTACGAGTCATGCCATAAATAAGTTGTTATCAAGAACTGAATTTCCTGCATGCTGCTTCATGATTTCTATTTTAGGTTTCAGTTGGGCTGCACCTTCCGGCCAGGTTTCCCTCAATGCAATGCTACTCCCAGCTCTCTCTACTTTTGGCAAATACCTCATTTTATGGCCCTAGCATACTTGTGCCGTAATGACTATGCCACAGGAGGGTATGAACTTTTGGGTCTTTCACAGTCTTACTTTAATATTTATGTCATCAGTTGAAAAGATTCAACTATTGCACCTGGAAATTGTTTCAGAACAGGAGTTTTATTTCCTGCCTTTGCTTTCATGGGCCTTGTATCTGTTCATGGAAAGAATTAATCAATATCCAATTATGCCCTATGAATTCAAGGCAGAAAGAATTATAGTTGACAGATTTTATACTTTTGAGAACGAATGTTCTGAGCAGCCTGTTTAGCTATCAATTTAATTCCCCTTTTAAATGATTAGCATGAGATTTTAGGAATTTGCTGTCAAGCTGATTGTAGGTGGGATCTTTGTATGTTGATGGTGGTCCACAGATTATTGATGCAGTTCACTTGGCTCCTTCGTGTCTAATCCTTTTTCGTTTGTTGCATATTCTGATTTAGCATGTTCTTCCTTGCTGATGCTTCTGGTCAGAGAACAGCCTCGGTAGCTTTAAGGAATTGCATATACATGATCCCTTTGGGGTTCTTGGCCTATGACTGTAAGTCCAAGACTCACAAACCATCTTTCTTTTTCTAATCGTGTTTCTATTTGTATTTTTGTATTCCTGTTGGTGGTTGTCTTCTTGTAATGCTCTTTGGGCCTTTTTCTTTTTCTTCTCGCTTTTCAGCCAATCTTATTTCTTATTGAAAGAAGGTTTTCCGTCATATAGGTGCCAGCATTGGTCTTCTTTAAATTGAAAATAAGTGATTTAGACTTACATTTACCATTGCGAAAAAAACACAACAAATGTTCTCTCTTTTCTTTTTTTTCTTCCATGAAATAGATTGGTATCTGGCTGTCGTGTCTGATATGGCTGTTTTCAGATTGCATTTCTGAGTCTTTAGGTATTTGCATTTTTCTAAGGCTCTTGGTGGTTTTAACAAAGCTGATGAGTTATATTTGTTATTCATGGTTTTGGTTAATTTCATATGTCACTGGTCCTCTCGTACATTGATTTTAATATGTGGCTTCTTCTACCTGTTATCAATTGTATGATACTGTGGGGACAATTCTTGATCATCTTAGTACGTGATTGATTAATCGGACATGTCAATTGTATGATACTGTTGGTAGTAGAATGACCAACATATTCCATGCTTGAGATGCAACCCTTGGCCTTTGATCACTAAGCAGGGAATAATTAATGTTGGGGATTACATCTCATTCCGCCCGTTTCTTCTGTCTGCAGGGGGTATGACGTCTGGATGGTTTTGTGTTGAATCTACTCTTCCTACTCTCGCGATAGCTGCAACATCATTTTCGTTCTATCGAGACCGTACTACACATAAGGCAAGGAAGATGTTTCATGCCAGCCTTCTTTACCTTCCTGTATTTATGTCGGGGATTATGTTCCACCGCATCGTTGATAATCAACAAAGCCTTTCTGAAGAGAATTTAGAGAGTATTGTTGAGCTTTCGTTGTCCTCACAAGATGGCAATGTCAAACGGAAGAGTAGGTTGAGGAATTCCACAGATGGCTCACAAGTTCGCCCACCTGTATCATACGCCTCTATTGCACCGTTTCCGTTCCTCCCAGTTCCTTCGTATGCCGATCCATGATATGTTTCTGGGTCCCTTGTTTTGTACAATGAAACGTCGAAAGCTGCCCAATAAAGTATTTTTGTTCAAAGAGCAATGTCTTTCCCCAAGCAAACGTCTCCCGGGAAAGGTCGAAAGCCTGTATTCTTTTGCAAATTGCAAGTTTCTTGTTGCGAATGTAATTTTTGCTTTGTAGTGTTGGGAGGTTTAGGTGTTTGAGTTGGTAATGCATTGTTGATTTAAAGTATACGAATATGGCCATCTGTTCAATGATTATGGAAGAGCAGCTATTGATTTTTTGTAGGGATGATGTTTACAGAATGATTTATAATATGAAAGGTTCTGATTATAAACATAAAATTCTGTAAATCGGTCGTGAAGTTTCTTGAGGAACTCCTCAATCTTAAGGAGCCAAGATATCTGCATCAACTGCATGATCGAGTTGCCAAGCCCTTGATAGAGTTGTGTGCCCCCTGTTATATTGAGATTAGGCGATCGCTCTTTTTGGGTTCACCTTCCATACCTATTTAAGCGCAAGTCCCTTTTGCATTTCACATATAGGATTGGAAGACTTCCAAGAACTAACTTGCCATAAGTGTCTCTTGTTCAACGGAGATATCAAAAATGTCGTATAGACATATAACAATAATAAATGACGTATTATTTACTCCAATCAAGATGTCAAATATGACATGAAAGAGAAGGCTAAGCTGACATGGATAAAGAGATGTTAAATTTGAAGTTGTCTTTAAATTTAATTATTTTTTATTTTTTATTTTCAAAGGTTCACTTGCTTTACCATAAAAGAAGCAATAAATTATATTATTTTTAAACCAACAATCCAACTTTTATTATTTTTGTTTGAAAAAACATAAATGAAGCAATAAATTTTGGCATATCGGGTTGAATGAAAATATTGATAATATGTCAAATTGTTAAGTCAACCATCAAATTGAAATTTGATGATTTGAACTTGACGTTTCATTTGCAAATGTTTTAACATACTAAAACGTGTGTACATATTACATATGCACGTGTTCAAGTGTGTCTACATTTGGCCACGTATTACCATCACTGGCTCAATTATCAACCCTATTTACAATTAATTTGTATAGATCGGGCCAAATGTTTTTTTTCAAGCCCTTCATTTCCAAATTCCAAATCTTTAATATTAAAAGTTTGAAAAATATCCACTTACTGCTTCCCTCACAACCACATGACTTTTCCTTGTGGATCAAATTAGAACCACCATTGCCTGAAATCTGTTTTGGGAATGGAACGTCGCTTTTGTCTTATTGCTCTTGACTGACTTAAAGACTGTCAAACGTCTTTGCGGGGAGAAATTTTTAGTTGTGACGGGAACACAAGTGGTACATCATGTATTTTAATAGGAATGGTGAGAATTTTTTTTTTTTAAAGTTATTAACTTTTTAGCACACATATCCCACTATTTGTTTAATGACACGTGATGTATCACTCTGTGTACTGGTCACATTAAAAAATCTCTCCTTTGCGGGCTGGATGTGGAAAAAGGAAACACTTTTCATAAACTTCCAAGCTAAAAACTGGCTTTTCCTATGTAAACCCGATTGGGCCGCTGGATGTAGAATAAGGAAAGCCCTTTTCATAAAATTTGAAGCTACAAAGTACCTTTTTCTATGTAAAATAGACTGGATTAAATGTACCATGTGACAGGGAAAAGAAACCGTAGAAAAAGGAAGCTCTTTTCATAAAATTCCAAGCTAAAAAGTTGCTTTTCCTATGTAAAACCGACTGGCCGCTGGACGTAGAAAAAGAAAGCTCTTTTCTTAAAATTCCAAGCTAAAAAGTAGCTTTTTCTTTCTAAAATCTATTAGACTAAGATTTGGTTTAGTACTGAGGTGATTATGAAAAAAGATAGTATCAAAAAAGTTGGGAACTATTTTTGTGTTTGATAAACATTTAGCTTCAGTTTTTGGTAAAAAAAAGCCAAAAACAAGAAGCTGCAAAACCCATCTTTGAAAAACCAGCTTTTTTTTCACATCTGTTTTACATAAAAGTGTTCCAAACACTATAATACTGCTTTTTTTTTTTTTTTCAAAACCACTTTTACAAAAAATTTTACTAAACACTCTGCTGCTTTATTTCACAACTGCTTATTCTTAGAGCATAGCAGAAGCAGCTTTTTTTCAAAGCACAACAATACCAAACCAGCCCTAAATCCTAGTTTTGATATTGAGGTGATTCTGAAAAAAGTGACCATCAAAAAAAGGTGGGAGCTTTTTCATGTTTGGTGAACATTCAACTTCAGCTTTTTTTCACAATTTTGGGTGAAAAAAAGCCAAAAACACAAAGCTGCAAAACCCAGCTTTGAAAAACCAGCTTTTTTCACATCTGTTTTACATAAAAGTTTATCAAACATTATAATATTGCTTTTTTTTTTTTTTCAAACACACTTTACAAAAAGGTTTACCAAACACTCTGCTACTTTATTTCACAGCTGCTTATTCTCACAACACAGCAGAAGCAGGTTTTTTTCAAAACATAGTAATATCAAACCAGCCCTAAATGTACCGTGTGACAGGGTATTTGTCACCCACAATGTCATGTGTAAAGTACTTTCAAATTTGTTAGCTCAGTTACTGTTTACTTTTGTTGAAATTAAATATCCACTTGAGTGAAATACAGGCATTAGGCCTAATCCAAACTTATTTTAGGTGCAAACATTTTGTTCATTTTTTTCCCCTCCTGTAGACTGACCGATAAGTTATGGAAGAACATTGTCTACCACTCAAATTTAAAAGAGATAGAATCATGAACAGTGATGAAGTTTATATTATTTTATTTTCGATGCACAAGTAGTTAATTTTAATTAAAAAGTTTCATGATGATGAACTAATCTCCATTGGAAAATGACACAAATAAATCCTTCGATCTTAGGTTAGTTTGTCAGTCAATACTTCAATTCTCTTCTGAAAAATGATTTTTAAAACTAATTAAGTAGTTCAATTATTGCTCTTTTTGGGTTCACCTTTCATACCTATTTAAGCGCAAGTCCCATTTGCATTTCACATATAGGATTGGAAGACTTCCAAGAACTAACTTGCCATAAGTGTCTCTTGTTCAAAGGAGATATCAAAAATGCCATATAGACATATAACAATAATAAATGACGTATTATTTACTCCAATCAAGATGTCAAAAATGACATAAAAAATAAGGCTAAGCTGACATGGATAAAGAGATGTTAAATTTGAAGTTGTCTTTAAATTTAATTATTATTTTTTTTTTTCAAAGGTTCACTTGCTTTACCATAAATGAAGCAATAAATTATATTATTTTTAAACCAACAACCCAATTATATTATTTTTAAACCAACAACCCAACTTCTATTATTTTTGTTTGAAAAAACATAAATGAAGCAATAAATTTTGGCATATCGGATAGAATAAAAATATTGATAATATGTCAAATTGTCAAGTCAACCATCAAATTAAAATTTGATGTTTTGAATTTGACGTCTCATTTGCAAATGTTTTAACATACTAAAACGTGTGTACATATTACATATGCAAGTGTTCAAGTGTGTGTCTACATTTGGCCACGTGTTACCATCACTAGCTCAATTATCAACCCTATTTACATTTAATTTGTATAGATGGGGCCAAATGTTATTTTTTCAAGCCCTTCATTTCCAAATTCCAAATCTTTAATATTAAAAGTTTGAAAAATATCCACTTACTGCTTCCCTCACAACCACATGACTTTTCCTTGTGGATCAAGTTAGAACCACCATTGCCTGGAATTTGTTTTGGTAATGGAACGTCGCTTTTGTCTTATTTCCCTAGACTGACTTAAAGACTGTCAAACGTCTTTGCAGGGAGAAATTTTTAGTTGTGACGGGAACACAAGTGGTACATTATGTATTTTAATAGGAATGGTGAGAAATTTTTTTTTTTTAAGTTATTAACTTTTTAGCACACATATCTCATCATTTATTTAGTAACACGTAATGTACCACTCTGTATACCGATCACATTGAAAAATCTCTCCTTTGTTGGCTGGATGTGGAAAAAGGAAGCACTTTTCATAAACTTCCAAGCTAAAAAGTGGCTTTTCCTATGTAAACCCGACTGGGCCGCTGGATGTAGAAAAAGAAGCCCTTTTCATAAAATTTGAAGCTAAAAAGTACCTTTTTCTATGTAAAATAGACTAGATAAATGTACCGTGTGACAGGGAAAAGAAACCGTAGAAAGAGGAAGCTCTTTTCATAAAATTCCAAGCTAAAAAGTTGCTTTTCCTATGTAAAACCGACTGGCCGCTAGACGTAGAAAAAGAAAGCTCTTTTCCTAAAATTCCAAGCTAAAAAGTGGCTTTTTCTATTTAAAACCTATTGGACTAAGACTTGGTTTGATGTGTTCGTAACATGTGATCGATAACGATCCGATTAGTTAACTCGTTGATCCAAAATCCGTTATTTTCTTGTCGTTTCGAATCAAATTAACAGGTCATGTAAGAAATTGTCATGTCTATGCTCCAATTTGGACCTCCCTTTTCTCTGATACATAATTTGTCTTGTAAACTACTATACATCACACAAAATGCGCATTTCAAAGCACTTTATCGGAGTTGTTTTATTTCATAGGTTACTAAGTGTCTCTCATGACTTTTCTTTGGGGATGAAGTTGAATTATCACTACCTGGAATTAGTTTTGGGGATGGCCCATCATTTTTGCCTTTTGTCTCTTGACTGACTTATAAATTTTTCCACAACAACTTTGTCTACTGTCTTTGTGGCGCTGGATGTGGAAGAATGAAGCTTCTTTCATAAATTTCAAAGGTTGAGCAAAATCTCCTCCAATTATATTTTTGATGGGAAAAATAATCACCTTAAGACAAAAAAAAAAAAAAAAAAAAAAAAAAAAAAAAGAGAGAGAGAGAGAGAGAGAAGAAATAAGACCTGTAGAATATTAATCTTCGTGAGGTATATAATTATATATGCAAGTGGTAAATTGTTTTGATGTATAAGGTCTTTCTCTTTGACCAACGAAGAGAAAGCTTTGTTTACTTTGATACATAATTTAACTTCTAGATATTTCAGAGGACCTTATAGAAGTTGTATTTCTCAGGTTACTAACCATTTCTCGCAAACAAGTTATGTTCTTCAAGGTATGTGGCATAGATGGGGTTATGATCCAAGTTACGTTCTTTTCTATGCCTTATTCTATAAAGGACTTCAAATATTTTCTTTATGTATGACAAATGATAACCACAAGTTGATTGGCTCTTAGTTCAACTCAGTTTGCAATTCTCACATGGATATGTTTACATAAATGTATAAAAGACCATACGAAAATGAAAGAACATAAGGGAAATGATGTTAAATACTTAGAAAATATCCAACTACAAAGTAATAACTTGAAAGAAATGAAAAATATAAGAGATCAAGCAAGTTAAACCCATTTGGGCAAACTTTTTTGCTAGTCGGGCAAGTTCGTGCACGTTGTTGAAGTGATTTGAAAAGAATTTTCTTAAAGGGAATCGATCTTACAGGCAATGTAGCAGAGCTTTAAACATAAATACATGTACAAATATGCTAGATTACAAAAGGAATTTGAAATATTGTAGGCTGCAGATATTCAAATTTTTTATGAGTTGTGAATTGAATGTCATTTTCTTCTTTCTTTATGCTACTATATATAGAACATACATTTCTTCCAGTTTAAACCTTTTACTCTTAGCATAATTATGTATGCTCCTAGTTGTTGATGTAAATACTAATAGTAGGAAAAAAAATTACATTGCAACTTGAGCTTTTATCCCCTCAAAATAACCAAAATGTCGTCAGAAAGTAGCTTTTCCTAAGTAAAATTGACTAGGTTAAATGTACAGTGTGATAGGATGTTTGTAGCCCACAATGCGACATGTAAAGTACTTTCAAATCCTTGAGCTCAATTACTGTTTACTTATGTTGAAATTAAATATCCATTAGCACTTGAATGAAATAAAGGCATTAGGCCCAAACTTATTCTGGGTCAAAACATCTTGTTCATTTTTTACCCTCACGTAAACGAGAAATTATAGCGTAGTACAGTAATACCACGTCATCCGTGATATTTCCTTTCAAATTTAGCCATGTGTCATGTTTTTAAACCAGTGGAATTTAATCTCATTTTTAATCTTTAAATAAATTTAAAAATGAAAAAAAAAAATAAAAAAAAGAACAAAACAGATCGTGTTCCTGAAGTTTTAGCCCCCTCCGACCCAACCTGGTAATCCCCTTCCACACACCGCCGGATGTCGGCTCCCAAGCGGTGTGAAGGCGTTTGGAAATACATTCAGCGTGGCTAATGGGTTTGCTTGGCTGAGTCGGACTCATCGATTCAGCGTGGTTGTGGTTGAATTTGGAAATTTGGTAAAGAAGAAAACGGGATTTGATTTGAAGGTTAGACAATTAGATTCAATTTTAGTTTCTGTATTCTTTTGTTTTGATTAAGTTGGGTGGGCACTGACTGATTTTGTTTTGAAATTTCCATGACTGATGAGGAAATCATCAGAAAATTGAGATTCAATTCCAGCTGCATAAAAGTCGTCGAACGTGGCAAACTTTGAATGGAAGTACCACGAATGATCTATAAGTTATGGAAGAACATTGTCTACCGCTCAAATTTATAAGAGATGCATCATGAAAAGTGATGAACTTTATATTATTTTATTTTCGATGCACAAGGAATTAATTTTAATTAAAATGTTTCATGATGATGAACTAATCTCCACTGAAAAATGAAACAAATAAATCCTTCGATCTCAAGATAATTTGTCAATCAATGTTTTAATTCTCTTGTGGAAAATGATTTTTAAAACTAATTAAGTAGATCGATTATTGCTATATATGTGCCTGACGTTTCTTTGGGGATGAAGTTGAACCATCATTGTCTGCAATTTGTTTTGGGGATGGACCATCCTTTTTGTCTTTTATCTCTTGACTCACTACCGCCTTTGTAGGTCTGGAGATGTAGAAAAGTAATTTGTAGTAAATATCTTTACTAACGTGTGTATAAATAGCACACTAAATTACTCATTCCTTACACCAATCACCTACTTGATATCTATATGGATAGAGTCATGAGAGTTGTTCCGCTACTCAGCTTTCTATGCATTGCGTCTATTACTCTTAGCTTATGCAATGGAAACCTGAATGTGCCTTGCCAACAAAATGAGAGACAAACACTTCTTATGTTCAAGAAAGATCTCGATGATTCTTCAAATCTGCTTTCCTCTTGGGTTGGTGAAGGCGATTGTTGCACCTGGACCGGTGTTGCCTGCGACAATTTAACCGGTCATGTCCGCGAGCTCCACCTTGCTGGTTATTATGATGAAGTGACTCGTGAGGGCCATCGGCTGGGTGGTAAGGTAAATCCTTCTCTACTCAATTTAAAGCATCTCACCTACTTGGACTTGAGCTGCAATGATTTTGGAGGACAACAATTTCCCGGCTTTCTTGGTTCTCTTAAAGGTTTAAGGTATCTTAACCTCTCAGATGCATGGTTCAAGGGAACCGTTCCTCATCAGTTGGGAAATCTCTCGAGCCTGCGTTATCTAGACCTTTCTTCTAACTATGGTTCAACGGTCGAGAATCTCGAATGGCTCTCTGGTCTTTCTCAGTTGAAACATCTTGGCATGAGTGGGGTAGATCTTACCAGGGCATCTCATTGGTTACAAGTCAACAAACTCCCTTCTTTGCTGGTCGAGTTACATTTGTCTGCTTGCAAACTTTATCACATGCCAAGTGGTATTCAGAACTTGACAAGTCTTAAAGTTCTTTATCTGTCCTCCAACTATTTCAACTCTACCATACCTCTAGTAAACACACTCCCTTCTCTCCTGGTCGAGTTGCATTTGTCAAGCTGCGAACTTTATCACGTGCCAAGTGGTATTCAGAACTTGACAAGTCTTAAAGTTCTTGATCTGTCCTGGAACTATTTGAACTCCACCATACCTCAAGTAAACACACTCCCTTCTCTCCTGGTCGAGTTGCATTTGTCAGGCTGCAAACTTTATCACATGCCAAGTGGTATTAAGAACTTGACAAGTCTTAAAGTTCTTGATCTGTCCTGGAACTATTTGAACTCCACCATACCTCAAGTAAACACACTCCCTTCTCTCCTGGTCGAGTTGCATTTGTCAGGCTGCAAACTTTATCACATGCCAAGTGGTATTCAGAACTTGACAAGTCTTAAAGTTCTTGATCTGTCCTTCAACTATTTCAACTCCACCATACCTCAATGGTTGTACAGTTTGAACCATCTTGAGTCCCTTGATCTTTATTCCAATGCTTTCCATGGTGAAATTTCAAGTTCCCTTGGAAACTTGACAGCCCTTGTTGATCTTTCATTAGGTTATAATCAGCTTGAAGGGGAAATCCCAAACTCATTGGGAAATCTTTGTAAGTTGACTTCTTTTGATCTATCGTCAAACAATTTCCGGGGAAGGGTATCAGAAATCTTTGAAAGTTTGTCTAGCTGTAGTTTTGGTCAAATAGATTCCTTACGGCTTTCGGATAATAACTTTTCAGGTAATTTATCTGATCAGCTGAGAATTTTTAAAAATTTACGCATCCTTGATCTTTCAAATAATTCAATATCAGGTCGCATTCCAGTGTCTTTAGGAAATCTATCACTCTTAGAGGAGTTGGTCATTGATCACAATTCATTCGAGGGTGTTGCCTCTGAAGTTCATTTTACTAATCTTACAAGATTGTCTACCTTTTCTGCAAATGAGAACTCCTTGACTCTTAAAACTAGCCAGGACTGGGTTCCTCCTTTTCAACTTTCTACCTTGAGTTTAAGTTCTTGGCGTCTGGACCCATCACAGTTGCCTGCATGGCTTCAGAGTCAAAAACACTTGTCCTCTCTCAATATGTCCGGTACAGGAATTTCAGGTACCATTCCGGCTTGGTTGTGGAACATTTCTTCTGTTGAAAACCAAGAAATGATATATCAAGAAATCTATGTGGATCTCTCTCGTAATCAATTGTCCGGGGAGGTTCCAAATATAGCTTCTACCCACTGGTTGGATTATTCTACTTTAGGAGTTGCAATTTATTTAGGATCTAACCAATTCAACGGTTCATTGCCACTTGTGTCTTCGGCAGTGACTGCACTAGATCTTTCCAATTCATCATTTTCGGGAACTCTCTCTCACTTCTTTTGTGATAGGAGTGATGTAAAATCCCAAGCTCACTGGACAACAATTCTTCTTCTTGACAACAATCACCTCACTGGTGAAATTCCGGATTGTCGGTTACACTGGCCAAACTTGGAAGTAGTGAATTTAGAAAATAACAATTTGACGGGGAAACTCCCAAGCTCTATTAGGGACTTACTTTCCCTTCAATCATTGCACTTGCGCAATAATAACCTATCTGGAGAATTACCCGTGTCCCTACAAAACTGTCGGGAGTTAATCCTTCTTGACCTTCGTGGAAATAAGTTTGTTGGAAGCATTCCAATATGGTTTGGCCAAAGCTTGGTGGTTCTTATTCTTCGCTCAAATATGTTCCAAGGCACCATTCCTGATGAACTTTGTAGTCTCACAAAACTCCAAATCTTGGACCTTGCGCATAACAATCTCTCGGGAACGATACCAAGGTGTTTCCAAAAGTTGTCATCCATGGCCACTAAATTTTCAAGCGAAGAAGCTCTTGGTATTGAATTCTTAATTTCTCCTTATTGGTCATCCTACTACACAGAGAATGCGGATTTTGTGGCCAAAGGCAGAGAAGTGAAATATAGCACAGTGCTTCGTTTGGTAACTAGCTTGGACCTTTCAAGAAACATGTTATTTGGAGAAATCCCTGAAGAGCTGACCAACCTCATTAACCTACAAACGTTGAATTTATCCGATAATCTTCTGACCGGAAGAATCCCTTCCAAAATCGGTGATATGGAAGCGTTAGAGTCGCTTGATTTGTCTGTGAACCAACTTTCTGGCGAGATTTCTCCAAGCATCTCGAATTTGACATTTCTCAATCATTTGAATTTGTCCTATAACAATCTAACTGGGCAGATTCCAAAAAGCACTCAGCTTCAGAGCTTTGATTTGTTCAGTTATACTGGCAATAAACTTTGCGGACCTCCATTGGTAGAGCGTTGCAGTACAAATGAGGCCATGCCACCGGTAGGTGATGAGAAGCACAATGAAGGTCATTTACTTGAAGACGGTGGTTTCTATCTGAGTTTGGGGCTTGGTTTTGCATTCGGGTTTTGGGTTGTTCTTGGTTCATTGTTGTCTAATGTGCCATGGAGCAATGCATTTTCTCAATTCCAAAATCGCATTGTGAAGAAGTTCTATGCTGCAATCGTCAAACGTTATTAACTATTTTGTGTAGATAGATCGAGTTTGTGTGGTTTGTTTTTACTCTTGTTGTCCAATTAGAATGTTACACAGTTGTATGCTTCTTTGTGGCAATTTATTTTGTCTTTTCCTTGGTTTTTTTCTTTGGCCGTATAAAATTGTAAGATTCGCTTTATAAATACAACATTCCTGATACAGATCATGAAGTTTTATATATATATATATATATATATATATATAATCTTAAGTTAGATGAGTTTAATTATGATCACTCTCGTAGATATGCAATTTTCTCAATCATAAATGCTGCTTGAGCCACTATTTTCTTCTTTTATGAAATTGACACATCTTAACCCGATGTCAAATTGAACACTGAAATTAAGACGTGTTGACCATCACTCAGAATGTGACGGAGCCATAACGTGCATGTAGATCCAATTTAATAAAATAACTTCAAATAATCTACCAAAAATTGGGTATAGTTTTCTTTGAAAATAGCTTCAGGCTTAAATTTAAAACCTGCTGAAAATATTATAATTATTTCAACACCACTTCCCCAAAGGACCACACCTAACAGGTTATCAACCCTCCACTAAATGCATGATAAGTTGTTCAGAGCATGACATGTTTTACAGCAAAAACGGAGGACATGAAGGTACTAAAAGCATCTCCAGTGCTGTCCCTAATAGGGACAGCTACTGTATAAAACCAGTATAAAACAAATATAAAGACAAATTAAATCTCCAATTGATCATAAATGAGTCTCTAAAGTATAGGGACTCATCGGATACTTAATTTACGTACTCATATATGGGGACAGATGAGTGACTGAAATAGTGGAGCCCGTTGGGCAATTTGAGTGGAAAAACTAGCCCACCAACTTAAGTGTTGTTGTCCGGCAAGGATTCCACTTGCACGAACGCGCAGGCGTATCCCACGTAGAGAATGTGCTATGAAAATGCAATTGTGACTTTCCAAACTACTATAATTTTCAACGAGAAGAATTTAAGTTCATATTCAACGATGCGGGAGCATAACCCTACCTAACACACATATATACATATAATATTTTCGAAAATATAAAACAGAGCAGAATTAAGGGTGGTTTCCGTTTTTCATATTCAACTTCATATCCAAACCTATCCAAACATGTGGGTATCCGTATTGAAAATATTTAGTGGGTAAATTTTGCATTCTTATTTTACATGTTATGCTCCACAAAAATCAATGTTATGCTCACGATCATCCAATTTCATTAAGACATAATGTGGAGAATAAAGCTGATCCGTTTTTAATGTGAGAGCAAAATGAAGAGTTAAATAACCATTATAGACTATACGACATAATAAGCCCACGCGTTGCGGCAGGAACTGTTTCAGCAGTAACTGTATGAATAAGACATACTTAAATTGAATAAATTCAACACAATCATGAATGAATAGAGGGACACATAACGCTCATAACTGAAAGTTCCCAAGAAAGTTAAAGGAGCAGAAGGAAATAATAACTGAACATTCTCCATGTTCCACATAAAGCTCATAATTAATTTTAGAAAACAACTTACTTGGCACGATTAAATTTCTCAGTCCCACTTCTGTCAAAATTTGATGGCAATTCTTTTTCCCAATAACTGTTTCCCTTTCCATTACCCATGGCTGCACAAAAGTACATAGTTAACTAACAGGATAATGAATCAGAAAATAGTAGTCAGTTAGAAAAGATTAAAAACACACAGAGCGAGAATGTGAACACTAAACTTATGTTTTCTAACAAATTAAAGCACCCTAATAACAAAACAATGGAAAATCACAAACCGGAAGGTCCTCTTGCACTCATCAACCAAGACTTTGAGCTGATTGAGCAGCTGCCGGACCATCTCTTGCCGATTCAAGAGCAAGCACACCATTAAAAATATCAAAACAAACCGGAGCTGCTTGTTGGCCAAGCTCAGGTCCTCAAACATGCCCTCCTTGATCACTCCGAATTTAAGCCATTCCCTCTCTCTCTACACACACAGACACACACACACACAAAATAAGAGAAGCAGACTTGCAGAGACATAAAAGGGTAAAAAATGAAGAGGCAACAAATGGTATGAAGAGTATAAGGTATGTTGAAAACCTTCTTAAAATTAACCACATTTGGATTTGATCAATTAGAAACAAGAATTAGCAACTGCATTTTAATAACATCGTTGTCTCACTAAAAAAAAACTCGCGAAAAATAGTCTTTGTGGTTAAAGGGATTCTGTCTGATCCCAAAACATAAATCTCTCAATTGTCAATCAAATACGTACTAAATCATGTTCCAAACCACAATGCATTCAAAGCAATAATCAATTGAGCACACTAAATAAGTGGAAACATTTATACCTCAATCCAATTAGAAGCTTATATCTTTTTGCAGGTGTAAATCTCACCCTCAACAGTTTTAAAACGCAGTCATCCCAGTGCAAATAGAAGGTGGAAAATGTTGTCCCAGCACAAACACAACCTGCAAAGCAAACAAACCAACACACACAAAAAACCAAATGATCAACGACAAAATTTAGAAACCCTACCACACAAAATCGCAAGAACAACATAAAAACGGCAATGATGGCCTCAAACCCAAACAAAATCCCAAATCAGTTAAAAAAATAGTGAAAATGAACTGAACCCATTCCTCTATCATATTCTTTTCCTCTGTTTCCCTATCCCTAATCCCAAATCTCTCTTCCATGCTTTCTCCGCCATACATTAATGCCTACGAATCGACTCATTATACACCTAAACAATGAGAGTGCAGCTTCTATAAGTGAATCCACAATGTAAAACATCTTAACAGTTCAAATTAAATAGAAAAATATTTAAAATTTTGAGGAAAAGGTCATCAAACCATATAGAACCACAAACACAAAGCACATAAGAAATGCAAAGATGCAGATTTTCAAGGAAGCTTAACAACCTCCAGGAGCAAACCAATCGTTAAACCCTAAAAACCAAAAACCCACAAATCTGCCCTCCCTGAGGAACCATCCGAGATTCAAGGAAGCTTAACACCTGATGGCTAAGCTAAGTGCATTAAATACAGGAATTCAGTACTATACACAGCTTGTAAAAAACGTATTTTGAAGATCTGGATCATTGGTGAAGGTAAGCTGATGAATGTAGTGTGTGTTCTTGAGCTTCTTCAAGAGCCACAGCCCGGAGCTGAATAAAGAGTTTGAATGATCCTCGTAAAGATACCCCAAGTGTGGGCCCGATATGGAAAGATATATGTACAGGTACGGCAACATAATGCTATCTGCAAAAATGATGGCCAATATTTTACAGAGAATTCTCTATCTTCTTAATTTTTTTACCTTTTTATGTTTTTTTATTTGAATGGTTACGGTTAAGTTCCGTCAATATCTCATATTAATTTTTTTTATAGAGATAATAAGACAAAAAATAATGTGTGAAAGGAGATGATGGAAATGAATGATAATAAGAGGGTACAAAATCTTTATCCATATCTTACACCGACTGCATATAATGAGAAAACATGACGTCAGATTGGTATGGAGTTGTAAAGTTGCAGCATAAAAACATGAATGACCAACAAATGAATATTTTAACCCATAAATCACTAACGTTTAAAGTCAAATTCCTCTAATTTGGCATAGGCTTCCTTAAGATTTCTCTCAGTGTCATCGAAGACCTCCTTGCTCCAAGATTGCAACTTCTTTTGAATAATTTTTAACTTACTGAAAAATTTGTAACCCTCACAACCTTTGACTATCGCAGAATGCCACCACTCTTTGAGATTGTTTCGAAAGTCTGGATGTTGTAGCCATGAGCTCTCGAACCTAAAAGGGCCTAGCCCCCACTTCACCTTGTTGGTATCTAATTCGATTGGGCAATGATCAGAGGTTATCCTTGCCAAAGCCTTTTGCCTTGAGTGTGGAAACGACTCCTCCCAACCACCAGAGAGTAAGAATCTGTTTAATCTTCAACAAACTATTTCTTCTCGAAAATTAGACCAAGTGAACTGAGCGTTGAGCAAATATGGGTCAATAAGTTCAGAATCCTAGATAAATTGGTTAAAAATCCTCGTACTTGCAGTGGACCTTCCCCCGTTTGACTTCTCGTTTTTGAACCTCACCACATTAAAATCTCCTCCCACACACCATCTTGGACCGCAAAGACCGTAAAGGCCAGTTAGTTCTTCCCAGAAATCTTGTCTTTCCCTATATTTGCAAGGGCCATAGACCCTTGAGAGCCTCTATTCCAGACCATTCAACTCTCTAATTTTGATGGAAACTGAGAACATTCCTACTAGAGACTCGACTTAAAAAACCAAAACCCTATTAGATGAAGAGTTCTCACTGTTAAACCTTAAAATTGGAGGAGACCTAGTGAAGGCATCGACTGTTGGTGAAGAATTGTGCACCCCTAAACGAAGATGAGTGTAGATGGTGAATTTTTTGCAATTTTCCTCGTCTACGTTTTCTCTTTGCTTTTGTAGTTTCTTCATTCGATTGAATATTTATGGAAGAATGAACTGTCAATTTTTGTAACATTATTAATCTCAATTTTTCTTTGGATTATATGTGCTTCGTATTTAATTTTCCACCATTGCATTATTAAGGGTGTTGTCCGTGTCCGGATTCTGTTTTGAAGGTTATCATTGACTGTGGTAGTGAATTGAGAGATTTGTTGTGTTCTTAGAAAGTGAAAATAGCATATTTAAGGTTTACGGGAAAAAAAATTCTTCAGGTGCATATTAGAAAAATTAGTGAAAGCACCACTTGATTATCGCACAAGAATCTTTTAATCAACAACTAGTTATTTGTATGAATTAAGGGCATTTGTGTTTATTTAAGTGATATTTTGGATATATTTGAAAGTTTTTTAAAAAACTAACATTTTTGAAATTAGAGGCTAATATTTGGCTATATTTGATAAATACCTTCTTCTTCTATCATTGTGATTCTGCAAGCCGCAAGCTCTCTCTCTCCCTCCTTCTCTGCAAGCCAAAGGCTCTCTCTTGTAACCCATCTCCTTTCCACGCACCTTTCATCTTCCCTCGACTTTCCACACAGATGTCGATCTCATCGAGTGCAAAACAAAACAGACAAAATTACCCTTGAACTTTTGAGAATTACCCTCCCAACCTAGCCCCATTTGGCTGGCATTGTTGTAAATATCATGAAATCGAGTGGCTCTGTGCTAAACCATACGGACAAAATTACCCTCTGAACTGTTGAGAATTATCCTCCTTACCAAGTTGGCATTGTTGTAAATAGAGTGAAATCGAGTGGCAACGAATTAATGGCATCTACAGTGCCTTTTTCCCCCTACTTTAGACTAAAGTAATGTGATAAAAATTGATTTCTTTCACACACTCTATACTAATCTGTTCGAATGTTCTACCTCCATCAACTATTCTACCATACGTATTAGTATTACTATCGTAGTCATACTAAAGCGTGTGTACAGATTAATGTGCACGTGTTCAAGTGTGTGTGTGTGTCTGCATATTTGGCCACGTGTTGCCATCACATTTGGGGGGACCATGTTACTTGACAAGGACCAAACTGTTGGAAATGTGCCCTAAAACCAATCATATGATGATACTTTACGGACATTTCAAACTAATGTAGTTTAAATGTAAAGGGCAAACATTATTGTTTGAGCCGTCTCATATAAATGTTATATGCTTAAACGATAAGTCCAAGGAATATGTGATTGGAAGAATGCGATCTAAAGAAGTTAGATTCATGAGACCATTCTTTCGTTGACACATCCTAAACGTTCCTGATCATAGGATTGTCAATTGGGCATTAACAGTCCGTTAAGATCAGTACGTGCTATGTCTTCTCTCAGGGAGAGTGACTAGTCTCGAGTCATTGGTGTGTATGACATCAAGACAAGTACGTAGGTGCTTAATAGAGAATGAGTTCACTGAACACGATCAACGAAGAGTTCTCATATTCATGTCACATGAGAACTCATGGTTGGGATAATGCAAATTAGTCTTTTGACCTGAGGCATCACAGGTGTCTTGTGGTTAGGTCCTTAATCTTTGATTATGTCAAAGTCACTCCATCAGGAGGGTGTCCAAGGCATCGTTGGGGTTAAGCCACTTAGCCATGGAGGCAAGTGAATGCGCAACAAGGGATCTCTAACCTTCAAACTGTTTGAGGGAGAATACTCTATGATATGATTAAGAATCTTTGGCCAAAGTATGAATGAGATTTAGGAATGTGTTCCAAATCACATTCAAGGTAATCATATAAGCACAAGACTCACATTGGATAGTAGACATGAATAAACTATCAAACCAAACAATGTGGTCAAGAGTATTGTATTAGAGAAAGACCATATTGCATTTGTAATCCTAAAACTGAATAGGTTCTCCACCTCTTCTGATTAGCTTGGGTAACCATGACATGCTGCTAGGCGTCAACCATGGTTTGTGGAAGCCCTAAAAGTGTATTATCACTAACGGGAGAATTGAAAGTAAGTTTCAATTCACAATCAATTTGAAAGAGTTTGAATCACCCACTGCCTCGCTAAAAGGAACCTAATGGATCGTACACCGTGTAAGGTAGAGATTGAAGATTCAACGGAGATGAGTAAGAATAATTAAATGGTTTAATTATTTATGGCAAGGATTAATTAATATGTTAATTAATCAAACGAATAAGTTCGTTAAAGACCTCGGGATAGTTTTGGACCTTAAGGCCCAATGGGCTTCGAACGTCAAGTCCATTGACTTAAGTTGTATGACAACTTAATGAATAATGATTCACAAAGGCCCAAATAGCCCAATAAATCCCCTTAGGCCGGCCATTTAGAGGAGGGTAGTGAACTTGGCTTAATTGCAAGCTTGCCACTCCATTGTGAGGTGGTATAAAGACATCTTTATAGCCATTTCATCCTTAGGGTTTTCTAAGGAGTAAGGATGAGAACACAAACTCTCTTTTCTCTCTAGAAATGGCCGGCCACCTTGAGGAAAACATCTAGCAATCTTACTTCCTCAAGGTCACTCATTTCTTCTACAATATACCTTGGTGTGGAGACTTAGAGGTTCTCAATTTTGGGAACTTGGAGAAACCTTTTCATCCATCCAAATCCATGGATCTAAGATGCAAGGAATGAAGGCCCTCTCTTTGGGTGATTAGCCTTTGCTTATGCAAAGAGGAATCTACAAAGGTATTGATTTCTCAACTCACTTTGTTTTTGAGTTGAGTCTTGGTTCACCTATCTACTAGGCTTTGAATTTCATGGGTAAATGTTTTGTTTTAAGTGCATACAAGCATGATTCCGCCTTTACTTGTTAATTGCATGCTATTGATGTTGCTTAAATGAACATGTTTTTCACAAATCTTCCTTCAAGTGGTATCAAGAGCCTAAGTCTAGTAGTTGGTGAATCCTTTTGGGTTTTGTAGTTCATAGTTTATGATTTGAATGTTGTAATTGTTACAAGCTTTATTCTTGCTTCTTTGAATGTAAATTTTGTTAGAAAATTTGCCATCTCAAATGTTGTAGATGTAGTTCATATGAGCATGAATTTTGGAGCTAAAATTTGGTGCCATGTTTTTGGGAAATTCGGCCAAATCCAAAGGGTGGAATTTTGGGTTCTTGTTTGACTTGTTAAAAGTGTTTTAAAATGACTTATGGAACCCCTATGTACCCTAGTATGGTTGTATGTTATTTCCCTTAAGTTTGAGTGGTTTTGGTATGTTTTTGGGTGAAGAATGTTCATGGAGCTCTTATGGGTTTTCATGAATGTTCTTCATTGTTCTTGATATGTTCTTGCCAAGAACAAAAGGTTTGGTGTTTTTGATTCAAAGTTTTGATTTATTTCATAAAGTTTTTGTTTTGAAATATTTCTTATGTTTAAATATATTAGATATTTATTTTGAAAAATTAAAGAAATTTTAGTGGGTTTGGTGTGTAATGATTTATTCCATTACACACACCCCACTTACAAAACTTTGAAATTTTTTTTATAAACTTTGCTTCAATGGCCGGCCACCCTACTCAATTAGGGTCCTTGTGGGGCTTTCATGCAATTATATAAAGTTTTGATACTTTTGTGTATTTGCATTTTGACCCAAAAGTTTACGTTTTTACGTAAAGGTCCAAAATCACTAAAAGGACAAATTGTTTTGCTCCTTTAATGAAGTTTTATTTTTTTGTGGAAATTTTGGGTTCTAGTTGTAATTACATGAAGTAGTGGACTTTTGTGTTTTTACAAAGTGACCCCAAAAGTTTAAGTTTTTGCAAAATAGCCCAAAAGTTGAGG